ACTATGATTTGGTACTGTGGTACATGAGTTGTGTGTGTGCTCAAGAGCTGTATTGGTTGTTGCTTTATAGCAACTATATGCTTGAGATGACATCGATTGATGTCTGTATTTATAATTCTACCAATATTTATATTGAATTACCACATGGTTTTCGCAATGCAGTTTGATGAGATTTGTATTAGCAAGTACAAATTTCTGAAAAGATATAGGTACATTACTACAGATACAGAAATGACTTTCGACGATCATGGCTTCATGGGGTCATGGCTTCAGCCGGGCGTTGCTTTTTTTCACTTCAATGATGTCGAAAATGCTTGTTTCTCAATTGTCTTCGTTAAATATTACACATTTAAACCTTCAGTTTGCTTGCTTGCGATACGTGAAGCTATACAGAATGTCCCACGAAAATGTCCCTAACTTTTAATTGATTCTGTCTTAAATTTGCCCAATTTGCTTTTGTAGTGTTAGAAACTGTTTCTATTCGTCTATATATAATTTTTGAAAATTGGTTGGAAACCCATTTCACACTAATCGATTTACGGAAAGGGGCAGAAAAACCATATAGGTATATGTTTAATGGAACGTTTTTTGTTTTCTTCCTTATTTTGTTACTTAGAAATAAAGCAAACTTACAAATTCAAAAGCATAAAAACATTGTTAAACACAATTTTATTAAAACACTCATTGTGAAAAAAGATAATTTAATTGTTTCGATTTAAAGTAAAGATATTAAGAAATCGTTAAAGTTTTTGTGAGAAACGTTGTACAATTTTCCCTGGGATATTATGTTAACGTTGCCTGACGCTGCGCCCCGTAGGGTTTCCTGGCATAGCTTCAGCGAAGCTGGAATGAATCGTGACCAGAGAGCTGGCCAGTGAGTGCTGCGCCTCGCCCTCACTGCCCAGCTCTCTGAGTCACTCTGGGTTTCCCCTCCTCCAACTGGCATCATACGCACTACGCAGCCTCTCTTATTAGCTACTACTGCGCTCGGGTCGTAGCCAGGATACCTATTTTAGCGTTTTTATGGCGAATATTTTTAACGTTTTTATGGCGAATATTTTTAGCATTTTTATGGCGAATATTTTTAGCGTTTTTATGGCGAATATTTTTAGCGTTTTTATGGCGAATATTTTTAGCGTTTTTATGGCGAATATTATTGGCGTTTTTATGGCGAATATTTTTGGCGTTTTTATGGCGAATGAAATCTTATCCGTGCTGGGGAGAACATTAGGCTACGGCTTGCCACCCTAGGCTAACCTCCTACGCATTACTCGAAAGGATTCCCTTTGCGCTCCTATGTAGCCTAATGATTTAATATTTGAACTTGTAATTCTCTCGATTTGAAATTCGATGAAAATTTTTCTAGTGTTGCAAATAACCAACATGAACAAATTTTGAGCATAAAGTTTTTTTATGCTTGATATTGCATTTGATGTTCTTATTATTCGTTGACCTCATGAGTCACCGCTCCCTCACTCCCCTGTTCAGGCGCCTCGCTCGCGTGGGCACGCACGCTTTAGCGGTGGTATACCAGAGCCTAATATATTTAGCCAAAATTTCCTACGAGTGTTATATGTTGATTCCAGAGCCACTTTTATAACACTCAGAACTGTGAATTCAGTCGGGAAAAAAATTGATTATAATTCTAAAGCAGGTCTTTACGTATTTTTCATCATGTTATTGATTTAGTTGCTGTCGATGTACATGAGCATTAGGAAACTTGCGTGGACGCTATTAGTAGCTGCTGGTCTGGCAGGCTGGCGAGCCGCTGTGGGCGCCGAGGAAGTTCTTTATGTGAGATGGCAAACAGCAGCGCGACGCACGCCAGGATAAATAAAGCGCTGTGGGAGAAATGGTGAGAAAGAGGAGGGTAAGAGCTGGAACGGGCGTCACAATTATTAGGAAATGTAATAGCTGGCAAAACGAGATTTAACACGTTGACCGATTGCTTCATCTCGTACTATTATTTCATTTGAAATATTATTATGAAACAAAGTTGTCAGACAGTCATTTTCCGGACAAATTCCTCGATTTAGTTTTTTCAATTGCGTTGCCCGGCTAAAATATAAGATAGGGGGTACTTCGTAATTAAATTTAAATAAAACGGAAATGGAATTTTCACATCGGAACCTACAATTACACTGGTATAAATTGAGTTATATGACATGTTGGCCTTTTATGTTCGCAGACTTGGCCGTTTTTTAGGCCATTTGACAACCCTGAATTATGTACCACCAGTCAACCACCTCTTGGAGAATTACACTTCGTGGTACGCATATGTACCACTTCGGAGTCAACGTGATAAGAAAAATTATAGACATGTGAAAAAAGGTGGGAATACATGGACAACGAGGGAAGTAATGGGAGGAGGAGGTACTTAGAACAAACTTCCAATGTTTAGTAATATTTTTTAGAAACCAAGAGCTCGTTCATTGCCATCGCATGAACTTGAACCTTCTTCCCTCAGGCAGCGCTGCGTGAACGCGCTCATGTGACGGCGTGGCTTTTCCCCTGATGCAGGATTGCCGTTGTTGTAGATTACTCATTATGCATCATGATGAGAAGTCTACACAATTTGATGAGAAGTCTACACAATTTGATGAGAAGTCTACACAATTTGATGAGAAGTCTACACAATTTGATGAGAAGTCTACACAAGTGAAGTCTTCTCATCAAATTAGGCATCGTTTGCAGTATCAAGTGAAGCTTGTCATCAACGCATGTAGCATCTATAGTATTAACTAGAAAATTACAATTAACGATCGGAGTATTTGTAATATCCGGTGGAAATTTGAAATTGTGATATCAAACATTCATCGGGTGATGCCAAGGTGTATATTTATTTCTATTTCTTAGTCCATTTCTATTTCTTAGTCCAAAGAATGTTAAGGAAAAAGATTTTTTCCTCTAATTCACATTAAAACTTAGACTTGCTCCAGAATTGCATTCGCAATTATTACATTTAATTCTTGAAAGCATGTTGTCTTGCTTTCTACCTGTCATAGTTAGTGGGGCAATATAGTCGGGTTCACCTCAGTTGGACTGACAAGTCCTTCGAGAGGTTTTCTCGAATTAAATTAGACTTTATTGGTTGCTTTAATATTTTTTCTAACACACAATGAGAAAAGCAACCTCGGAAAATGATAAGGATTCGGCTTGTGTTCTAACGGATCAAATGCTTTAACCTGGTCTAAGAAGAGCTAATTTATCTGCATTTCATTGAAGACATTTTTATGCTTATCTCTCTGCCATACTGCTTCAATGAATTCCCTTATTTCGAGTACGATTCTTTTCGCAGTCCTACTTTCATATATTAGGTTTGAGTGTAATTTTATACCTTATATTATTAAAGAAGACAACATGTCTTCTAACGATAATTTTATTCCTAATATGCGCTCTAATCAACTATAAAAAACACAGCGAAGACTAAGTTTCGACAGGATGAATGAGTATTTGCTTGAATTAAGTTCGTCGCCAGCGACAGTTTCCACACGATGTGCTCACGCCAACTATAGCGGCCGCTACTTGTTCCTCGCCCCTCGTCTTGACGCCCGCACTGCCGCCCGCGACACCTCAACTTTAATCATTTTAACTCTAGGAATCTTAATTTCTCTTCGCTATCGATTTCACGCGATGCTTTAATTTTGTTTATTTTATGGCTCATCGCGGCTTTTGTCAACTTTACTCATTTTAACTCGAGTAATCTTAATTTCTTGTCGCTAACGATTTCACACCATGCTTTAATTTTGTTTGTTTTATGGGTCATCGCGGCTTTTGAGTGCAGTTCCAAATTGTTCGAACTCTTTCACCAAATTTTATAGATGATTTTTATTAATAAATAGCTATTGGGACGCTTCATGTCGGTGAAAGAAATGAATACAAACGTGAGACTGTGGCTAACGAATAGCAAATGTTCAATAGTCAGGTTTAAATTCACCAATGCTTGCCTCTCGTCATTTCTGATTTAACCTCGGCACCGCAAATTTTAGTTGCACTAAAATTTTCGATAATATTTTATCAATGAAATGTTTTTTCCGGTTTATTTGTAAACCTAAAATAGATTCATAGGCTCATTCCGCCCGGACACAAGCATAGGCTCATTCTGTTACTACTCGATTTTGCTATCAAAACCTCAGGATTTTCGTCAGCATACAAAGGTTTTAGCAATTATTGAGATTGATAATTAATCACGAGTTAGATGTGAGAATCATCATGCCACTGCCTGAGCGTCACAACGAGCGCGCCCTGCCGTACGTTTGCCTAAGGGTGGTTGGGTGCCGTTTTAAAGCCGAGGTCTCAACTCGCGTTCCCGTTATTTTGACGCTGATGTTGCACCGGCTCCTTCTAGGCCCTAATTTGGACTGAAATCTGGTCTGCAAATAAAGTGTGTTCAGAATACTATTAATGTCAAATCTATTGTTCTATTGACTTATTTTATAGACTACAAGTTGTAATTTTTTCTATTAAGCTGAGGCGTTAGGCTGGCCTTTGACGTGTAACGATCTGTGATACACGAGATGTTGTGTAGTACGTATGTGTACGCGTAAACTCACTAGTTCTTGGAGCTGGACAGATGTTTTCTACATGTTCCTTGTAGTGCGCTGAACTAAAGTTGGACACTTTTTTAGTTTATACTCTAGTCTACATGTCCAGGCTTCAAAACTGTTCAGTTCTAAACTTTTAATGAAGGTTTTGTAGCTGAGGTATAAATATTGGATCTGTGCCCAAGAGCGAGTTCATTGGGAAGCCGAGCTAAATGTTGTTTTTGTTTTCAGGTGCCTATCACTCTAAACATGTCGAGCCTCAGCAGCGTTGGAATTGGCCTGTCCCCCTTCTTCCCCCACCACCATCATCATCACCATCATCACCACCAACAACAACAACCTCATCACCACCACCACCATCAACAACAACAGCAACAACACCAGCAGCAGCAGCAGCAACACCAGCAGCACCAACAGCAACAACAACACCAGCAGCAACAGCACCAACATCAACAGCAGCAACAACATCATCAGCAGCATCAGGTAAGCGTGCAAGGCATTAAAAAGTCTCCTTATCTATTATAATATTTAACTGGACTTACTACTTACGTTATGATGCGACCATATTTAATTTGATTTCAACTATAATTACCGAGGTAAATTGATATTAAATAAATTTATTTGCTTCTTTTCCACCTCTTGAACCGAAGGTGAGTTACATCCACGCTTGAAATTAACGTGCAGGGGGAATTAGTGTACAAACATAAGCTTGAATTCATGTCAATAAAACGACTGTTGCTTAAAAGGCTGCTCAACTGCCAAGATCTCCTTTCTTAAATAAGATCTGTTAGAATAAAGCTAGCATCTTTTATAGCAATAATTGAATATTTTTTCTATTAGTGAAGAAAGGCATTAAGTTCAGCTATCTTCAGATGCTAAATACAACAGAAGGTAGTGCGAGAGTAGTCTCAAAACTACTGATTCAAATTTCACAGCTTTGAACAATTTGTGTACATGGCCTCTGCTAAATGTCGAACATCTTTGATACTCTGTGTTGGTAGACTTTGTCTTCAAGAATTTATATTTATTTACAAAATAACAGCATTTTCATTACATTTTTATACTGGAAGACTTGATTTTGTATAATACTTCTGTATTACACAAGATACAGAAGTATTACACAGCCTAGTAATACTTCTGTTGTAAGAGAGGCTGCGAGTGTTTCTTCAGAAATGCTGCAGCCCTGCAACAGCTTCTGTTTTTCTCCTCAGTAAATTCTTTCGTTAGCCAATGAGGTTAGTCCCGAGATTGCTTCCGTGATTGTCGTCCTTGCCTGTAGAGCATTTACTTCCTCTGGAGTGTTGCATTAGGTGCACTGAAGGTATAAAATATCGTGCCAGGACTTAGCGGTAACGCCAAGATTATGCCGGTGCACGTAGACCGAATTAATTGGCTTCTACATTATGATTCGGTTTGAAGAAAGAAAGCCCATGCCAAAATTAATTTTTGAAATTTCTACCACTTACGGCTAGTTCCCTCGATTTGGCTCCCCAAAATTCTTTGACAAAGAAATTTTAATTGACGTAAACCCACGGGGACGTCAACGCGAGTGTCCGCTGCTCGATGTAATCTCGCGGACCGATTGTTGCGGGCTACTGAATTGAACTTTTTTGAGTAATTTGCGGCTATTTATGTAAATAGGATATGACCTCTTAAATTGGAGATGTTGATTTTATTGTTATTGCAGTTGAACTCTGGTGCTGCTGTAGCAGCGGCGGCTGCCGGTGCTGCTGCCACCTACAACGCACTGCACCACCACCACCATCACCACAACCACCAGCAACAACAGCAACAACACCATCGGTGTAACTTGCACTCGCTCTTCTGCTCGCATCCTTCGATGCAGCACCAGTACCAGGTAAACATTAAATTATATCGTGTGTTATTTTTTTTACTTCACATAAAGTTGTCAGCTGCTTCATGTTCTCTTCGCGTCAGGACAAATTACTGAATAATTTCTATTACATCTGTTTATTGTCGAATGCATACAGCCGGGGGGTGGGCTTTAACTTTAACAACTTAACCCCCAATTTTAGCAATTGGTTAGACGAAGTTAGCATTTTAAGGTTCAATGAAGCTAGCCTTCTGCTTAGCTTCATTGGTTGCAATGGGCCTTCCTCCTTAAGGTTCCACGGCTCATTATAAACAGAAATTGATACGAGCGTCTAAATTTTCCCATGTGAGACTCGCTATTTGTAATTAGCGGAGAGAAACATGTTCAGCCTCAGCTGTTACTGTGAAGTCAAAGTTCTCATGTCAATTTACAAGTTGCAAACGTTTTTCGGTTTCACGTCATCGCTTGAAATTAAACATGTACATTTAAATGAAAGATCTCAGACGCTTATCCCATTCAATATTTGAGTTGCGTTGCCTAAAGTCAGCCAATAATTCCCGTTGCAGTTGAGACAGTCGCATTTTGGGCTAGCGGACTCGTCCTAATTTCAAAGATACGCCTTTCATACGCCTTTCGTAGCGTATGAACTTTTTTTCTGCACATTTTATTCCTTGATGTCAAAGACAAAGAAATTTAAAAGTCTGGAGTATAATCATTTACTTCTGACGCCCAGTGGCGTTTTAAGGGAGTTGTTGGGATGGTGTCCCCGCTTAATGTCCTCGGTTATCATCAGTGCTGGGACATAAGCTGCCTTAATAATCCCCCACAGATGGCCGCGGGATGTTTTGGCCCGCCACTCGTAGCTCCTCATCACCCAGCTGCTTCAGCTGGACCTCACCACCACCTGCTGCCGCCCCCACCCTCCCACGCACCCCCCATCTTCGGGCAGCTGGCGCCTCAGATGCCCGGTGCCATCGCTGCTCAGATGCCCCAGCTGGCGCCCTCAGCCCCCCCTCCCCTGCAGTCACACCAGCTGCCTCCTCCACCATCTGTCACCGGCTCGGCGTCTCATCATCCTCCTCCACATCACCACCATCATCATCATCCTCACCATCCACAACACCAACCGCCACCACCACCGCCACCACACCACCACCAGGCTGCACTCGTCACGCCTTTCCCACCTCTCCCGCCTCCACTCCACGCCCTTCACCACTCGCATGTGAGTGGCGGTTACCTTTCGTTTCCTTGCGACAAATATGCGTATGAGTTCATTGATTTATTTAATTTAATTTGAATTGATTTAATCCTTAGTTTCATTAATGAATGCAAGTGTGTTTCATTTAGTGAAGCTTTAAGTGGAGGAAAATTTCTTGATCCTTTAAAGCCCCTACAAATCAGCGTGGATATTTGTGCATAATTTATTTTAAGTATCATATACATTTTTATATTTTTAATATTAGCCCTGAATTTTTATGAGGTTAATTGATAGATAGAGTTATTGTTTATACGTCGGAGACTCTTGTTTTCTTCTGCGCCAACCAAGCTGAGTTTCTTAAGAGTCTCCCTGTAGCTCCGTGAGTCTCAGACAGGCTGCACTGATTTATTTCGGGTTCTTTCATTAAGCGGCTTGACTATTAGTACTCCATTGTTGAACGAAAACAAATTTCAATATTTTTCATGCTAATCCAGATACTTATAACCAATTATTGGATTGTGACTGAAATTAATGAAATTTTGAACAATAGTGTGGACGCAGAGAGGAAATGTACAGATCCGTGACAAAGCAACGAGTGCCTTTCACATTTTTCTCCGCGTTCAACATCTTGTATGTTGTCTCGCTTATTCCTATATCTGATATTATACTTTTTTTCTTGTTGGTGATATTTTAGACGGAATACGAAGTATTATAACCTTCACTAATGGTCAGTGCTTTGGAGGAACGTTGGCGCAATAAAGGAACTAAATTAAAGTTTGCGTCGGTGTCATTTGCTTATCATAATTGGAGTTATTCAAATCCGAAATAAATTTACTTGTTGAAAATAATGTTATTAATATCATTTAGGTCTTCCTTTCTTTCCTATGGTCGTTGGAAGTGCCAGTAAATCCTTGTTTAAATTCGTACCTATAAGAATCAGGACCAGCTCAAGGAAATTGTTAGTCCATGCTTTGATAATCATCAGTTTAAGATGGAACAAAATTAAATTATAGATTTTTGTAAACAATTAATGGTAGGAACATTAACGTGAAGTGAAAAATAACTGGTAAATCTATTGTAAGGTGAAGATAGTATTTTTATTTTTTTTTTTTGCATAATAGTTGGAATTTAATAGGTTAAAAACATTGAAAATATGACTTTTGTCTAAAAAAAAGGGAGGATACTGTTGGTAAATGTATAGTGGGGATAAGGGGGGTAGTGTAAAAGTAACTCAGTATGAAGCTGTACTAGTGGAAGCAGCGTTCTGTGATTGTCAAAAGGACTTCCTAATAGTCCTTGATTTACTAGTATAATACCATTCACCATCTTACCATGAATATTTTTATACCGTCGCCATGATCTAATCTGTCATAGTACCAGAGATCTCGTCTCATTGCTAGATCATATCTGGAGTATCACTGTGTTAATACGGTGCCTGAATTAATACGGTGCCTGAATTAATATGGTGCCTGAATTAATACGGTGCCTGAATTAATATGGTGCCTGAATTAATACGGTGCCTGAATTAATACAGTTCCTGAATTAATACGGTGTCTGTATTAATACAGTTCCTGAATTAATACGGTGTCTGTATTAATACAGTTCCTGAATTAATACGGTGGGGGGCGCAGCGAGGAGGTCTCAACGCCGCCACCAGGAGAGCGGGCGGCGGGTGGCGGACCGCCGCCGCTGCCGTCGTCGCGGCCGCGGGTGCCGTGCCGGGTGAGTGTTGGGCTAGGCGGGTGCCGTGCCGGGTGAGTGGTGGGCTAGATATATTTCTGTTCTTTACTGCGTAGTCTTATATTTTCCGTGTGCCATAATTTAGTTCCCAATTAAAGGCTTGTTGAAATCTTAAAATTTTCATTGTACACGCCTTCCGTTGCCTGATGGGTTTTAACAATGCAATGTTGTAATAACATAACATAAAGTCGAGCTGTACAGAACTGTGAATATATAAGCTCTAGTTATGGGTGCTGCGTCAGATAACAGTTGTTTTAAGGTAAGATTTCGTTCTTCCATTCACTTCTGCCTGCTTTTGCCCTAGTGTGAACATCGTGTTGGTGATCGACTGTCTGCACATGTGACAGTTCACTGCTGGACCTGTTGAATCATTCACTGTTGAATCATTCACTGTTGAATCATTCACTGTTGAATCATTCACTGTTGAATCGTTCGCTGTTGAATCATTCACCGTTGAATCATTCACTGTTGAATCATTCACTGTTGAATCATTCACTGTTGAATCATTCACTGTTGAATCATTCACTGTTGAATCATTCACTGTTGAATCATTCGCTGTTGAATCGTTCGCTGTTGAATCATTCACTGTTGAATCATTCACTGTTGAATCATTCACTGTTGAATCGTTCGCTGTTGAATCATTCACTGTTGGACCGTTGAGCGCAACGATAACGTATTATTTACTTTGCAGGAGGTGGCATGGGTGGAGTTCCCCTTCCTCCCCAGCCAGCAGGTCACGCCCCTCAAGGCCCCCCTCAGGGCCCTCCCCTCGGTCCCCTCGGTCCCGCACAGGCCTCAGCAGCGGTGGCTGCAGCCACGGCCTCCTACCCCGGGATCCTCCTGCACTTCTTGTGAGTCACGCAAACCAAAATAAGTCGTCCCTCCGACACAAATTTATTCCTGGCAAATAATAACTTATATCTTATAAATATTGCTTTCTGCTGCTAAGATTTTTCTACAGTGGAATATGCCTCCTATTCAAGGAGGCATATTTATTTTAGAAAATCATTCTAGCAGTCATTCTATGCTTTTGCTGTGAAATGTGTTTACTGTGGACATCGCAAGGCTCCTTTGAACATATGATGCTTCGTTCGTCCAATTCTCATATCCATTTACCATCGTTTGTGTCCTTGATGAATTGGAAGCTTAGTATTGGATGGTGTTTTATGATCCTTCTTCAAGTTGCAGAAAATATTCAGAATAATCGTTGATGCTTTATACTTACAAAATATTGACGTTGAGCAGAGCGATGTTGAGTCAGCCGACAGCCCTGCACACCCTGAGCGCCGTGGAGCAAGTGTCAGCCGAGGTGCAGGACCCTGAGAACTACGAAGCTCTGCTGCACCTCGCCGAGCGTCTGGGAGACGCTAAGCCACGAGGCCTCATGCGCCATGCCATCGACCAGCTCCCTTCATACAGGTACTGTGTGGCGAGCAGCTCCGTTCATACAGGTACTGTGTGGCGACCAGCTCCCTTCATACAGGTACTGTGTGGCGACAAGCTTTCTTCACACAGGTACTGTGTGGCGACCAGCTCCCTTCATACAGGTACTGTGTGGCGACAAGCTTTCTTCATACAGGTACTGTGTGGCGACCAGCTCCCTTCATACAGGTACTGTGCGACGACCAGCTCCCTTCATACAGGTACTGTGTGGTGACCCGTTCCCTTCATACAGGTACTGTGTGGCGACCAGCTCCCTTCATACAGGTACTGTGTGGCGACTAGCTCCCTTCATACAGGTACTGTGTGGCAACCAGATATCGTGCCAGGACCAAATGTCAGCCCATTTCCTAATGTTATAGTACTGTTCTGCAATATCTGCGGTGTTGTTGTACTCTCTCTACTGGCTCGTGATGCAATGTTATAAAAGGTATCGTGTCGTGTTTCTGCATCTGAATTTAAGGTTATTCGAGACGAATCTTTTTACTTTGAGGACAGTTATCATCATAGTCAGTTATATATATATATATATACATATATATGCCTGAGATTGAATGTAAAACGTTAGGTAGGATAGGATATAAAATTTTCAGGACAACACATTTGTACAACTAGGTACGTTTGGAACTTACAGTCGCGGTTTTGCAGGTACACCGGAGAGAAATGCGACACCAAGCAGACGACGTGCGTCGTGTGCATGTGCGACTTCGAAGTGCGCCAGATGCTGCGCGTCTTGCCTTGCTTGCACGAATTCCATTCCAAGTGTGTCGACAAGTGGCTCAAGGTGAGCATCTTGGTCTTAGTTCCTTGGATATGATGAATTCCATTCCAAGTGTGTCGACAAGTGGCTCAAGGTGAGCATATTGGTCTTAGTTCCTTGGATATGATGAATTCCATTCCAAGTGTGTCGACAAGTGGCTCAAGGTGAGCATCTTGATCTTAGTTCCTTGGATATGATGAATTACCGTATATTCCAAGTGTGTCGACAAGTGGCTCAAGGTGAGCATCTTGGTCTTAGCTCTTTGGATATGATAAATTCCATTCCAAGTGTGTCGACAAGTGGCTCAAGGTATATTTGTCATAGTTCCTTAGAGAAAATTCACGTGTTGAATGTCCTGTATATAGTAATATCTTTTCCCTTTGGACTTGCTTAAGTAAAGCCATTGTTCTGTGAAAAATTTCATTTTGATTTCTTGATTCCATCGTACAAACCAAATAGATTATGATCAACTCGTGTCATTATCATGAAGTTACCCTTATCTGGGAAGAGCTTGTGTTAAAAACTTTATTAAATAATTAAATAGTTATAGTTGCCGCAGAAGTACAATAAACTTCAACAACTGAAATGCTTTATATTTTTTTCCATATTCTTACTGTTCCATGTGAGTTGCCTCGCAATTTCTCCGCAATTCGCACAATGCCAGAAAATCTGAAATAATCTTTCCTCCCGCAGAGTAACCGCACGTGTCCCATCTGCCGCGGCGACGCAAGTGAATACTTGAAAGAAGGAACTTCTTCGGAGTAGCGCTTTGTTCAATAACTAATTTATCCTGTCTTTGTGGTCACCTTGCTTCATCACAACATGTTTTGAGGAATAATTCCGCTTATCTCTGGGTGTAGAACACGCCACTCTTCGCGACGAGATAGTCTTGCTGCTTCTCACGAGGTTTTCAGTGTTCAGTTTGACTTCCTGGTTTTAGAATAATATTGGCTGGTTTGCGTTCGTTTTGAGTGGATGTTAGCACTCGAATATTTATCGACAGTTGAAATCTTATTTTATTCATGACATTTAAATCTCTTTCATTATATCTTTTAGTTTAATTTACACCCATCTAGGAAATGTTAGACATTGCATTGAGTTTGGATCTTGCGCGTCACGTTGCGCTTGTTCAATTATTCGATGAACCGGCCGCCGTCTCGTCCGCGTCTTGCTGCCTCGCTTGCCCGCACTTCAATTCTTACTCTCACCAAGAGATTATAGTTTGAGTCGTGCATCCGTTCGCCTAACTCGATAAATCTTTTCTGACAGATTATTCAGTACTGAAATACCAGTGATTTTTGGCCTTACGAGTTTCTGATTTTGTGATTTTGGCCTTTAGTTTCTGGATGACGTTGTGCAAATTTACTCAATTCAGGTTCGTCAAATATATGACAGCGATTTTTTCATCACAATTATCGTTGTTTGATATATCATTGATTGATTAATAACCAATTTTTAGGCGTCGTTTCCGCTGCAAGATCCTCGCTGAACACTCGACACTTTCCCAAAATCAACACCCTTGGTACTTGCCTGGACATGAGATCCTCGCGTGATTGCTTCACACTTATTACTAGCGCTTCCACTTCTCGTTCCTGGTTCATCCTTGTTGGTTTGGCGATGTGTCTGCATTCTTAGATGATTTTTGCTGCTAGTTTTTGCTAGCATTTTCACAAGTTAACTAATAGTTTTGTGGTGTGTTTGTTAGTGTTTACTTCATGTAACGAAAGTTTGTCTTTAATCATTCTTATTTCGAATTTATAAAGCTTTGCTTGTAAGTTCGTTGCTCGTCGTGGTTATTGCTCTTAATATTTGTGGTTTTGTTCTATAATCCCTAGGATTTTACCCCTTCATTCCATATGGCGTCAGCGCTGCACATTAATATGTGGTAGTTTAACTGCCCAGTTTTTGGCTTTGCATGCTCAATATTATCGTCATTATTACTACTATTGTTACTCTTATTCCTGTGTTGGCAACGGATAGTTCGTGTTGTCTCTCTAGGTTACAGTTGCATTCTGTTTTCTTTATGGACCCGGTAAACTAAACGGCTTTCATTCTTGTATCACTTTGTTCTCTCTTGACTTGGCGAATTTGTACTTTGCGTTTTAAAAGGAAGCAGTGCTTCGCTATTCTTTTATAATTTCTGACAGTTTCTCACCAGTCATTCAAGTCTGATTTTCTACCGCTCTTAATGCAGCCTGCTGTATACGAATCAATTGCTATAGTTTCTAAGAATGACTGTTTTATTTCTGTAATTATGTTAGGGTTTGTATTTATTTCATTTTTACGGACTCTTTAACTTTAAATTACATTTCTGTATTAGTTCGTGCACGGTAATTAGTTCTTACAAAGGAAATGCTTGCGGCTACATCGTGCTCATTAGCATTGGCTTGGATCGATCTTGCCGTTCATCTCTACACTTTTTCTAAGTTGTACCAAAAATGTTCATACGGGTTATGGCTCTTAGCAAGCTTTTATTGTGACTCATCTGCTATGTGTGGTAAAGGTTTGTTTCAATTTACGTGTGAATTATTAGTACCTACGTTTATTTGGCTGCTTTGTGCTGTTGCTGCCTTGTGAGCAGCTTTTGGTTTTGTGCTGCAAGGAACGACATTTTAATTAGACTTCTTAGCAAATATTCGTGCAAAAAGTGAACTTTAAAGGGATTGTTGTTCTTGTTTTAGTCAAGTGTGGACTTGCCTCATGACTTTTTTTTACAAATAACTTTGTTGTGATGGGATGTCTCTTTAGGTACTGTAATTTACAAAAAGAAATAATATTGTTGGATTTTACATTAACTTTGTTTTGGTTCTATTAATTAGCTTTAATGACGACTTTCTCAAAGTATTTCGTTGTTGTTGGTTGAGGTCTATTTTGATGCTTGCTTATATGTCCTAAACACAATAATAACACTTGTAGAATAATAGTTTTGATGGTGGCACGGTATACTAGATTGTTGGCGCGTTTCAGCCAGCAAGTAGTTCGCAAATTAAGTTTTCCGCATGTTACGAGTGAGTAGTTTTGAAGCGATCTTCTCCATGTCTTAGGTATTTCTTATTACGTCTCTGGCGCAGCGTTTTGAACCATTCCTTGCCTATTACACCCGTGCGTTTATGGGACGTTACTCGGCATTCCTTGCTAATTATTGTGCTTAGTCGTTTTTCTTCACACTATAACCTCGATTGTCTTCATCCATTAATCATTCAGCCTTCACCAATGCTTTAATTCTACCCTGTTAGACGCTAGATTTTATCGATATTTTCTTCCATGGATGAGTTTTTTGCTTGACATTTTACTGGGGCATTCGTATCAAGATCGCCTCTCACCGTGTGATATGACGTTAGTTGGAGCTGTAACATACGCATGATGTGAAGGAACATGGCGCATCAATTTGACGTTTTCGTGGGTGTACGTTAATGCGCATCGTATCCGTGTGTTTTAAAGCGTTGATGGCTGCTACTGTGTGTGTCGGTATCATGCTCAGCGGAGCGTACCATGCAAATTGTGTGATATTTACCCCCAGTTCATCACTACCAATCAAAATAGACTAAGCTCAGTCATGCTTGCTCTCTCCACTTCTAGTTGGTTGGCATTCAATGTTACGCTCACCAAGAGTAGAACAGTATAATGATACCTTGGCTTTCCCAGTACAGTATCGTGCAGAACAGTATGGTAGATCAGTATTAGTGGAACATTCAAAGAAAATGTTTAAGTCGCAACGATAATTGAGCCACCATCTTCTTCAAATTTTAATGTGAATTATTATTCTCAAGTGTTGAATCACTTGAAAGAATGAAACTCGCCTCGATCTTTTTCTTCTATTGCGTATAACAGGACTGGTTGTGTAACTTCTAGTATAGCCTAGAATTTTTCTCCCATTTCAGATGATAAAGGCTAAATCCTACCTTTCCTGATTTTGATCATTTTTTTTATCTTTTACTTGAGAGTGCAGACGAAAAGCGCCACGCAGCTCGGTTAAGAACTTACACCCCAGACTGGATTGAAACACGCCACCTATTCTCTGTTGTGTAAACTTATGAGGATTACTATATTTCTTTGTCAGGGTTGCATGCAGCGACGATAGTTTCCGTCCAGCATTTGTTGACTTATGAAGAGCGAGGGCCGCCTCCACGCTTGTGTTATTACACGACGCCTTACGTCCCTGCTCGCTCCCATCAACCATACCCAACTTGAATCCCAAATTTTGCGCGCATGTAAATTTTGAATTGTTCTATGGATGTTGATTAATGTTTGCCGTGATCTTCCAGCTTAATGAACGGCGTTTTGTCCCCGTGCATGAGGTTCATCCAATTAAATGTTTGGAAAATAACTCCCGACCCTAACTTGGTACTGGAATCGGTTCCTATATTTCATTGTCGTGAAACCTTTTGGCTGCTACCACTCTGCTGCATATCATCCAAATTCCACAATTCTCTTGCTCTCTTGTCGACAAAGTGTTAGTAAGTCATCTTGCACAAATCAAAAGCTGGCAATTACGACCGAGAAATTTCCAGTTCTCTTTAATGGCTGAGTTCGTCTTAACTATTTGTATGTGAAGTGCATTTGTGTTGTTATGGACTGCACACATTCGCTTTTCTTTCTTGATCTCGCATGTAACTAACTGCCTTTATGTGATTTGACATGGTAATGTACACTACACAAGACTGCGCAATGCTTTTTCATCATAAAGCGTTTAAATTTACTGAATTGAACAAACTTGTAGATTGAACTCTTAACATCATTTGGAGGCAAGCTCAAAAGTTGTGGATTGGCCAGTGCAGCTCCAGAGATTGAGATGAAGTCTTTATAATTGAATTACTTGAGCGTCACTGAGGTGAAGTCTTGCATGCATGGGCTGTAGTTGTGTCTGTGCTTGAGCCATTTTATGTCTTCCTCTTGTACCCTGAATTGATACCGATCATTTTAGTGATGATCATGGTGATAGTGGTGATCATTGAGGCGTTGTTTCACACTCCTGTCTTCAATCTAACAAGAAAATGATAAAAAAAAGCTTTTTCGTGGGTGTAGCGTGAGAATACCGCGTTCTGAACACAGCTGGAGCGGCACATCCCAAGTGCATTGCTCGCGCTGTCGTGTTGAGTGCAGCAGTGTTGTATTTCTACCTCTTAGAACCCTAGCGTTACTGTTCTGATCGTGCTCAAACCTCTGTGAGTGATGCATTTTTTAGCGCGCTCTGCTGCACTGCGATTGCTATATCCCTAGCTACAATAATACAATTCTAATTTTAAGAAGTTTAGGATCGAACCAAGTCTTCGCGCCCGAAGGCCCACACCAAATACTTGTAGTGCTCTTAACTCTAGACTAGCGATATAATGTTGTTTGATGTCATCCATTCAATTCTTAGTCCACCTCCTCCTTGTCCTCCTTATAAACTAACTCTATTGGAGTTTATCGAGTTTATCTCTCTATTGTGTGTCCGCTTATATGCTATAGCCTTCAAGAAATACTTTCAAACACTCCCATACGCTAGAGTTCTCTACGCCTCTTCTTACCTTAGTATGGATATTAGATACGAACCGCTTCTGCCATGCACTAGACTTTTGAAACTTTCTTTGTCATGCCTTTTGGTCTTCTTACTCTTGTCTTATGGATGATCATTTGTGTGTAGAAAAATCTTCTCTACATTAGACTAGAAACGTCTTGCTGGAAGTGTTTCACCTAAGCTTCTAACTGTGCGGCTCGAAACTCCTTGAATTTTCCTTGGTTTTTATTAATACCAAATTATCTAATCATTAGGTTAGAATGTAACTTCGGTGCAAAATTGAAGTCGCACTTGCTACGCTTTCAGTTCCAGCTTCCAATATGCTGATTTCTTTGTTCGCTGTCCAAGTGTTGGTTTCCGTATTCTGAATTTGTCGTGTACTTTTGTATTCAAAAGGGTGCACCCTGCCGCTCATGTTCATGTTCAAAAGATCTATGTGTAACATTTGAACGTAAAGACGAGAATACTTTGAGGACTTGAGGATTGCTGCTTGGTATAAATTTCGCGCTATTTGTGTCGTATATATTGTGTCAAGGAGTTTCGAGGCTGTTATTCCTTGTATGTTTTGTAAGACCATGTGCCTATCTACGTCTGTGTTAGTAGATGACGACTAAACGCCTCCTCTGATCGCAACGCCGTCTTAATTAGCACTCATTCCATGCCACGAGTGCAGCTTCGCCTCCATTGCACCCAATCAATCTTTACCTAACTTGTGAAATATTTTCTTCAACCGTCCTAGGTCTATATGCTGTTCAATTGATCATGCACTTATCAATCCAATATAAAATTTGTCAAAATTTAACGCAAAGTATCTCTCATTCCGATAATTTTAGAAGCTATTGAATTATAATATTCCATAAAGTCTAACTCACCTTTTAACAAATGCTGTAAGTCAGCCATTCAGTCTGCAGTTACGACGCCGTGGCGGTTCTTTTGTATTTGCTCCTACGAATAATGTAAGTAGACCAGTTCCTGTAACAAAAATAATAAACTTTCCCGAGACCTGAAAAAAATGCTTATTCTCCGATCATTACACAAATTTTTGAAAATATATCTCTTCCCTCTGCACAAGATTTGTTGTGTCCACAAATTGTGAGTTTCATGCAACTTTATTCCGCTATGGCACCAATTTTCTCTTTCTAACTCTGCATGGTTCATTGTGCATTCTTGGATCATTTGATTCGCAGGAGGATTTTTAAAACATTTCTCCATAAGATGTTTCAATGAAAATTTGCCTTATTTCCATACAGTAATCACGAGTAATGTATAAATACAAATTACTTAGAATCATCTTTATTATTGACATCGTCTGAATGTATCAAACTTGAACTGTTTTGTGAAAAAAGCACACCAGATTACTTCTTGGCTTAACTTCGCGGAGTTCCGTCATTTTAGACGTTCCTCATGGAGGCTGCAAGCTGGATTCGAAGGCGGTGTTTTTCCTGCGTCTCAAAGTTGGCTTTACTTAGTTGTTTTGGTAGATTTATACTCGTGTCTGCACAAAGGCGGATGCAAACTTCAACTGATACTCCAGGGTAACTCGATTCAACTGTCTTCTTGCGTGGAGCTTATGCCTACTGTGAACACGAAAGTTTTTCTGCACAAGTTCAAGCTGGATTACGACTCGAAGAATTTACTTCCTGTGAGCAAACTTCATCAATCTGCCCTCGACTAAAAACTCTGCTGCAAGTATAGCCTATGGTTCACCTCTATACGATGGAATAGAGTACAATAAATTGTCATGAAACTTCTCCCTCTCATATATAGGCTCCGCGGAAATTTATGCGACCCGCACTGTAACATCAACTTCAACCATATGAGAGGGCTTTGCGTGCCATGTCCTTCGTATCTCTAGTGCTGCAGGTTGTTCTTGGAACTATTTTTTATGTACTTCCCTGCATAAGACAACATGGTCAACCCCGGCTTGCGAAGCGCGCGTCTTTCACTACTGTTTTTCTTGCCACCTTCAAAGAAGTTATCCTTGCCATTTGGTACCCCGGGCACGCGTTGAAGTGTCGTTGCTTGGTGGTGTGCATTGATTTAATGCCCCACTTCTGATTCCATCCATAGTAAGGTATGTGTAAATGTTAATTGCTATGACAAAGCTTGAATCGCGCTTGCTGGGACTGTGACATTTTCTCTCTCTTTGGACTTTTCTATGCGAGTGGCGTGTAACTTTTCCCGCCACTGTCCGTCATAACGATCACCAGAAGACTGGTTGTGTCGAGTTGACATCTGCAGTCTCGCCTAGTATTCCTTACCTGCACACTCTCAGCAGCCTTTTGTAGAATGATCGTAGGACATATTTTTTGTACTATTTTGAACAACTTAGCTAGTATGGTTGCTTATTAAAATATGTGTAATAAATTCCTGTTGGGCTCTTGATATCATCGGTAATCTAGTACTATTTTCTGATTATGCTATTGCGAAGTTGTGATTTATTAGGTAGTGAAATGCTGAAGTTCGTTTGTATAGGTATTCTGGATGCACGTGTTGTGTTTGGTGCATCGTGACTTCATCCTGTCTATTTTTGCGTACCTTTAGAAGAGCATTACGTACCAACTTTTGTCCTTGATGTGTATGAGTGTCAATGGCATGCAGGCTGCAGTACAGGCTACACACCATTGGTTGGTCCTGTTCTTGGCGAGTCTTATTCGTTAAGTATATGTGAGCGACACAACTTTATGTTAGCAACTTAGTGTTGCCTTTTGCTAGGCGACACCAAATTGAAGTGTTTGGATACGCACTATACCTTCTTGATCATAGTTGTCAAGTCGCTGCTTTTGTAGGTACTTTAGTGAAACTCTTTTTACTGGAGAGGTATAGTTGTGATTGTGTGTGTTACTCCTTAGCTTCTACTTAGCGTATTTTTCTTATTTTGATATTATCTCTTGTGTATTATAATAAACTTAGCGTTCGCTCAAACCTTTCAAAGCTCGCGCCTTGCTGCATACGCCAGGCAGGCAGATACTGCCTCCTAATCATGTTGCGCCATCACAGCTCTTTAGGTTTCGTTTTACGTTTTTGTCAAAACACTAACAAATTTTCGTGGCGTGTGATTGTTGGTTTGTGGCAATAATTCTCTCTAGATTTTGTGCAGGTTTGAAAATTGAGTGTTGAGCTTGGTCCTGTGTTATACATCTTGGTGACATGTAATGTATAGCCTGCACGTGCTTGAATTCCTCACGATAGTGTGCCTCTTATGTGTATAATCTAACATCTCCGCATAGTGGATTCAGCGCTTTAATGTGTCTTTCTCTATTCTAATATTTTCTTCTTCTTTCATATAAGCGAGACATTTGATATTGGTGTAGTTTTTCATCGCTCATTACTATGGTAGTACAGCAAAATAAATACGTAACCATCGTTTTGATACCTCAGCTAACACTTGATTTTTTACTACTCAAATTTAATGACATCCTCGATATCCCTTAAATCATTATAATTCACCTTAGAAAGTGCTTATGTTTTACACTAATTGATACAACTTATACATTCTTCTGACCGTAATCTTGTAACTTTTGACTGCTATCAATCAATACTATCACCCATTTGTCAGCTAGGAATTGATCTTCGTTTGTGAACCTGAGTGGCTGGATTGTGTTGATGGAGGATGACAACTGCAGTATTAACCTGACTTGCCAACTGTTGAGTGCTAGTGTGAACGTTTCTTTTACTCACTCATCCCTTCGAGAGGAGGAAACAATGAGTATTATCGTTGGAAAAGCTAGGTCGACTCGTTTAATTATCGTGAGGTGCTTAAACCCGAGTAATTTACACATACTCAGTACCATTTCAATCTCGTTCCATCATCCATTCAAAGTTAACATATTCTACTTATTAGTTATCATTGTACTAAACTTGACCTTTATATATCGCATCTTTTTCCCTCTTGTTCACTTTAGCGCTCCTTCAGACAGTTTAATTGAAAATTTTAAACGAAAATCGTCTTTTTTGGTTTTGCAAGTGAGAACAAGAGCTTTATTTGCGTAGCATTCCGGAAGAAGTGGCCTGGTTCGCTTTCAATAATGCTCTCATTTTAGTCTTGGCTGCATCAGCACTTCCACAAGCCCTAAAAACTTCTTTGATATGCCTGACAATTGTTTACTCGATGTACAAGTGTATGTTAATGTGAGACTGTACTAACGCTCTCATTACTGTTTATATCTCTAGGGCTCATTTGTATATTAAAGCGTACCTACCGATGCATTCTTTGTCTTACTCTCCCTGGACCACACCCTGTCGTTCTGCATGCTAAAAATAAAGCTTATTACCATACACCCTCGTAACTGCTTACAAATGCTGCCCATAAATTCCTCCTTAGGAGTAGCTAGTGTATGAATAAATTTCAGATAAATGTCATCCCGTGTTTAGAATAGTTTTCCTGGGTGGTGCTCCTCTGTTTTGCAGCATAGACTTCATAACGCATTGAAATAATCTAAACATTTTGTTTCGTTTGAGGTGAGTATAATTGAGGTTTCTATAATATTGTCTGTCCCTTGTTTTCCAGATGAGAAAATTTTGATATTTACAAATTTTTGATTCCTAATGAAGTTCGAAAATCCCGCTTACGAGTTATGCAAGATCCTGGCTTGGTTTAATTCCCTTTAAACCTGTGGTGAATGGGACAGAATTAAAAATGGAAAAATGTGCCTATTTTTCCATGCTTATCGTGGGACTACTCCTCTAGAACAAACTCCCTTTCGAATTTGCAACTTAGCAATGCTTGTGACCGCGTAATAAATGTGTGAACTTACTCATAGTTTCAATTGGAAATGTTGATTGACCCTAATTACTGATGGTGCAAGATTCTGTCACTGAAGTAATTTCGTAATGCGCTATCAACTAAAAACGAATCGACTACATAGTGATTCATGAGGAATAAATACGGAGCTAACGCAGGTTTTTCATGAAAAATAAATGATGATGGCTTGGAGGAAAACGTTCTCAATAAACTTGGTAGCTCAATCAGATCACATCCCTATACACTATCACGTAGTTAAAACTCAAGGATATTTCCAGCTTTTTTATCGAACGTCGAATAAATTTGACTCCTGACTTCTGTCGAATTTCCCCATAAATCTTCAATATAACGTACATTGTGGCATGTATAGTATCGATAGCGATTTCAATTGTCACACTGGTGCTTCAGACTTGACACAATTCGAGCGACATGTGAAATAACCTTCAAATAGCGTCTTGAGGATGACAATCGTACGGAACAAGACTGGGCCGCATAGTCACCTCTTGGACCAGTCCGACTCTCGATTTGCAGCGGTTTTGCGTGCAAATTGTTTTCTTGGATTATTCTCTTGGCCTAAGTTTTAAGGTGCCTGTACACAGGGATAGTACTTGCCGCTAGTTCATCCGCCGCTTGAACTGTCCGCGCTACTATATAGTCTCGTGTTCAGCCGCTCCAGAGGCATGCGCCGGCAAGTGCCCGAGAGGGACAACGATGTGTTGTTTTCTTCGCTGGAGAAGTGGCTAGTAGCGCTGATGCAGCCATGGTGAGAGTAGCTACCTGTGCCGGTCGTGTGAAATATCTTGGGTCAAGCGAATCATGGCTTGTTTGAACGATAATGCTTGTTAAGGCCGGTCCACACGCTCAGTTTTACACAGCGATTTATCTGCGCAGTTTCAAGTCGGAGTGAAACCGTTGCAATTTTTAGAGCGTCCACATCCACACGGTGCCGACTTATCTGTGTAGGCTAGTTTGCTCAGTTATGCGCAATCTCGCCATGGATACGTTTCGGACAAATTTACTGCCGAACTTGTGGCCTGTGTCTAAATTCAGTGAGCATGAAATATTTTTCAAAGTAATAAATGTAGCTCGATAAACTTGGTACACGTATTCATTAGGACCTAACGGTGATGTTTAGCTCGTGAACATTTTTTGGAATTTCACCTTCATTCGTGAGTTATGTGACGATACGTGCCGAAATTTGTAGTAAGCATGACATTTCTTCTTAACTACTGTACAGATTTGAATGAAACTTTGAATATAGAAACCCAACCTCCCAACGGCGATGATTAGCTCGTGACAATTTTTTACATTAGATAAAGCCGTCTAACTCGCAAACGAAGGCAAAATCGAAAAAAATTGTCACGTGCTAAATAAACATCACCGTTTGGTCGTAGTGAATACGTGTTCCAAGTTTTATCGAGCAACGTTCATTACTTTGTGAGATATTCCATGCTCACCGAATTTGGGGAGACTGGCCGCGAGTCCGGCCGTAAATTTGTCAGAGACGTGTCATGGAGAAGGCAGTATTTTGATCAAATTTGGCATTGTGCCTTGTTAAAAAAAGAGATTGGATCATTTAGGAATGCGAGGAATCAAAATACAGGAGAGATGGCTTGTAGTTGTAGATGTCATCTTCTCCAGGTCCAGATGGAATCGATTTTTAAATTGTTTCCTAATTATTTACGGTGAGTGCTCCTCAACTTATTAATTTTTTATTAAAACTTATTATTTTCTCTGCTTGCGCGTTCATCGATTTCTTTGAATTTTTTACTAAGCTCTCGTATGTATCCACCTTTTTTCTCCCTGTTACTACTATATATAGTCCTTGAATTTTACTCGCCAAATGCAAGAAAAACTTTCGTATAGAGCAATAAATTCCCGAGAACATAATACCGAAGGTCCGCCATTGTCGCCAAAATCATTGAAACTAATCACAAATTGAATTGGAAAACAGTGCTACCGTCCACACGTTCCGACTTATCTGAGCAGTTCATCGAAATCGATGTTCATCTTCAATCTATCTAGCTCAGATATCACTGCAACTGTGCAGTCTTCCCGCCGGCTTCAAAACTGCGCGGTTTTCCCGTCCACATGCAACGTTTTATCTGCAACGATTAGAAATGCGCAGACAAATCGTTGTGTAAAACTGAGCGAGTGGACCGGCCTTAAGAAGAACCCAATAACAAAGTGGATTCCAGACGACATTCAATTATTCTTTGAAATATTTCAAAAATATGAATTAAAGTGGAATGTTTGCCAATTGCCATGATGGTTACTCCAACAAAATGAGAGAAACGAGCATTTTGAAACTGAAAGAAGACCTTATTAATCAGAGTTTAGTTGTTCCCGCCGTTGCATTTTTAAGGGCCGCTAGAATAAAGAGTAAAAAAACGACGTACAGACACTATTTGTTGAAGGTGATCCCACCATCCATCTTCACAACTCGACGACGGCTTCTAACGACGCACTGGCGGGCGCGAGCGAGAAGATAGCGGCACCTTATACTCTCCTCGTGTACAGGCTTACTTGCCGGATAGCCACCAAGCGACCGACACTTGCCATATCTACTAGCCGTCTGCACTATCCCCGTGTACAAGCACCTTAACGCCTATGATGCAACCGTCCGTCAATTAACATTTATTAAGCAAGAAATTTTCAATAGGTAAGGTTTATTTCGTGGTTAAAATTCTCTTGAATTTTAATTTAACCGTAGAGAGGAAAGCACATTCGGTTACAAGCCTTACAACAGCTATGGTAGCAGTGACGCGAAACCCTGCGACTGCTTCATCTAGACTTGGACACGCATGACTCGAATTTTTGGAGTGAATGTTACATGATCGTTTTTATTCAGAATATACAGTTAATTTGTTGAAGATGCCTTCACGCGTTGTCAAAAAATTTTATCTTTTCGGTTTTAATGAGCGCGCTAAAAGCTTAACTCACTCCAACCCTTTGCACAAATTAGCGTTTTGCGTACTACGTGAAAACGAAGCAGACAACAAATCTGATGCGGTTCGCTAGCTGGAGTCGTGATTTATTAAGCTACCTAGAATCGTTCAACCATGGCTTGAGTGTACATATTGTGAATAAGTATCTCCGTTGTTAATCAGATCATTATTGGTTTCGATTTGATAACTTTATTAGTAAAAACTTTCTATGATAAATATGTATATTAAAAATATATTATATCGTTTTAGATGGCAAATAGGCTTTTTTTACTGTAAAATGAAATTAATGAAATATGAAAACATTAACATTATAATACAAAACTTCATTATTTAGCCCAAATTTTACAATTAGTCATGATTATCGGACATATTTTTCGTAAATTTTCAGATTAAAAAGTGTTATCGTGTAAAATTTCTACCCATCACAAATAAAAATAATTTACTTTTAAATGGAATTTTTCACTTGGCAAACAATTTTTAATTGACTATAATATAAGGTGACCGTTCAATTCATATGCGGTAGTCATGAAATTATTAAAAAAGGCCCCATGAGCCCATTATGTGATTATTTGATTCTTCCTCAGTATTTCTTGCGGAAATTCCGTTCCGTATTTATGTCTCTTGCATAATTGTCTATGGATGTTTTGACAGCATTGTAGGTAATTAAGATTTACGAAGTTGTCTAGAGCCACGACTTGAGGTAATTTTTTGTACATTAATGTAAGAGGATGCCGAGGCTATAGGGATAGCTCCTAGTCTTCATTGTATTCAGTAGATTTTCCTTACAAAATATAAACCAGTGGTCCAGTTCCAGACTTCCAGTTAGAATTGCCAACACGTGAACGTGAAATGTTGAAAATGAAATAAACCATTTGATAATGGAAATTCATGTATTCTCATGTAATCATGTATCAACTACATATATCATACAGTATAGATTTAGATAAACTTTTCAAATTTTAGGAGGATCTGTTCCAATCTTGAATACCTACTAGGCTACTAGGTACCTAAGTACCTTAACATAGTTAGTTCGACTTAGTAGTAGGCTAGTAGCTACTAAGTACTAACTAGGTACTAAGGCAGTAAGGCTAGGCTAGGCAGCCTGTGTGTGACTAAATTTGGCATTTTGTGAGATCAATTCCGGCCGCGCTTCAAACTCTACTGCTAATTCGTAATTCCAACTCTCTTGTGTTCGAATTCCAATTGCTGTGTGTGTCCTGTGTGAGCTGTATTGGAATACGACACAGCTCGGAATTCTAACACTATTGAATATTGAACACTACTGAATTAGGCTTTTAATTAAGAGCTGTTAAGCTTTTAATTAAGGTAATTTTAATTTTTACATACAGCTCGCCAAGCTGTGTGTAAGCTCGTGGCTCGTTCCGAGCTGAGCTCGGAACGAGCCGCGTATGTCTAATTCCAAGCTGTGTTGGAATTAGTTTTTATGTGTCTAAAACTGTCTCTTAACTTAATCATATATTAATATATTTACCACTTGAAATTAGCAAATACAAGTATACTTATATGATTCCTAATATATTCACAAACTTATTTAAAAGTCTCAGATCATAATATTCTTTCAGTCTTTCTACACAAACAGTTTATCACTATTTGGTAGAGCAAGGCCTACTATCAACTTTGACAGGTTTTTTGATGTTCTCACTTCTTACTGAGTGATGTGCAGGGAATTATTGTGAGTACTTATGCGTTTGCAAGAGCATCGCCCGGTCTCTTATACACATCTAGATGTGTATAAGAGACAGGGATAGTACTTGCCGCTAGTTCATCCGCCGCTTGAACTGTCCGCGCTACTATATAGTCTCGTGTTCAGCCGCTCCAGAGGCATGCGCCGGCAAGTGCCCGAGAGGGACAACGATGTGTTGTTTTCTTCGCTGGAGAAGTGGCTAGTAGCGCTGATGCAGCCATGGTGAGAGTAGCTACCTGTGCCGGTCGTGTGAAATATCTTGGGTCAAGCGAATCATGGCTTGTTTGAACGATAATGCTTGTTAAGGCCGGTCCACACGCTCAGTTTTACACAGCGATTTATCTGCGCAGTTTCAAGTCGGAGTGAAACCGTTGCAATTTTTAGAGCGTCCACATCCACACGGTGCCGACTTATCTGTGTAGGCTAGTTTGCTCAGTTATGCGCAATCTCGCCATGGATACGTTTCGGACAAATTTACTGCCGAACTTGTGGCCTGTGTCTAAATTCAGTGAGCATGAAATATTTTTCAAAGTAATAAATGTAGCTCGATAAACTTGGTACACGTATTCATTAGGACCTAACGGTGATGTTTAGCTCGTGAACATTTTTTGGAATTTCACCTTCATTCGTGAGTTATGTGACGATACGTGCCGAAATTTGTAGTAAGCATGACATTTCNGTCTCAAACCATAATATTCTTCCTATAAAAACAGTTATTCACTATTTGGTAGAGCAAGGTCAACTGTCAAATTTGACACATTTTTCGATGATCTCACCAGGTGGCATGCATTGTCTCTCTTTGGATCTCAATATTTTCCCATTAGATGGCCAAGACCTAGTGTTTTGGCAGTATTTTGACGCGTAAATGTATGACGTCACCATTTCAACCATCAACAAACTCATGGAACTAAAACAAAGCCTAATATAAAGGAAATGCTTGAGAGGTGACGGAATTACCCACGATGTCGGAATATACCACGTTTACCCTACCGCGTTTATCATAACTTAACATAGAAAACACTAGTTGTTATTAATGAGATAACCTTAAGTCTATCACTGTCTATGTACATTATATTCTGTTTATGCAAGAAACCTCACGGAACATGCATTCATCATTAATGGTTTAATTTTTTTCAAACCAGCAGTGCCTTCTTAGGTTTCTTTACTAATGAACTCACCGCTTCCCCTCAGATCCATAAATATTGTGCATAAACAAATGCAAGCCTTCCCTAAAGGCCAAAAATATGGAAGTCACACCTTACTCTTACCCAGAACTGCTTACTCTGTTTTAAATACTCCATCACCAGAATTACCAAACCTCTACACTCATAATGATATACCTACTATTACTATGAGCAATCAGTGGCAATCACTATATGATATAAAAATTAATAGAATTGTATATATACTAATATGACCTGGAATATTGGGCAAAAGCTATCTATGAATGAGGTTAAATTGCTGGGAATTTGACCCCTGCTTGTATTGAATATTACTTTTTTCATAGCCCTCTCCCAACTTTTTCCATAAAAATAAGAAAGCAATGACACATTTTTACCTGCCAATTTCTAAAATTGTCTAGAAAATGATAGTATTCACCTGCAATTTCTGGAAAATACTGGTAGCTTTTGGTATTCCGGTAAATAGCTTTTGCTTGAGTGTCTTCTCCAGAGTGGGATCTGTTCATGAAAGCATTCTAAAACTAAAATTTACATCAAATTAGGCCATTGGTGTGGGATTTTTTCTTATGATAACACAAAATGCCCAAATGATAAGACTCTTATTCACAGGCTCACAGCTTCAATGCTTCATGGCCATGGGGCCGTAGGTAGTTAATGTCCAATTTTACAGTTTGGCTTGCTTAATTTTTTGGGACTCGGGGTTATTTGCTCACTGAGATTCATTAGTATGTTTCTTAAAAGAAAAGCAGCAATTAAGAGAAAATTGCTATTATTTATTGCAGATGCCAGTCCCTGGCAAATGGCCTATCATTCATATTTGTCCTTACAGAATACAGTTGATATAAATATTTTAGATTTATTTTTTAGAAGTGTTGAATGAACTCCTTGCAGGTTATCAATTTTAATTGTTTAATTGTAATTTAAATTTTTTAATTGTAATTTAATTTCTTCAGCCAACTAGTTGAAAAAGTCATTCTCCTATTTTATTTGTAATACTTACTGAGAGATTTTTGGAAATCAATCATAAAGTGGCATCATTAAAAATATTATATGCCTACATTGTTTTAGCTGTGTATTTCTGTATTATATATTATATTTTCATTAAAAGTATTATAGTTAGCTATCAAACTTGAATTTCAATAAGTTAAATTAATTTTCATTTGTTTTCAGGTTTCGCTCCAGGGTTCAAATCTAGATTCTATGTGTATATTATTGTTGCACATATCAAGTGTTGACACCATACAACATGACGGTGCTATCACGCCTACTGGGCGCCGCCTTGCGCACGTACAACAAAGTGCCGCTCCCAACATCAACTTCACACTTCCGAGCTCAAGTTCGTGGTTTCAAGAGGGCAAAATTGGCCAAAGACTCGTCGGTAACCATCACGCCCAAGGTTGAATTTGAAACACCAAATATTAGGAGAATGGGCCACAGTTTGATGAAGTGCTCCATTTTTGCTGCAGCATTTTGTACCACGACATATACGGGTGCTGTAATTTGGGAATACGAACGAGCCAGAAATCGACTAAAAAATCCATTTCAAGCCTTCACAAAATTCAACTGGAATGCAATGGAAGGCTGGAGAAACAAAGAGGGCGAGTTGAGGCAAACGCTCAATAAATGGTGGAATGATTTGTCAGATGGTCAAAGAGTCTTCTGGCCAATATTCTTCTTGAATGCTGCCGTGTACGCTCTATGGCAGGTACCTGCCCTTAAACTGGCAATGTTCAGATATTTTGCATTCTCTCCCGCTGCACATGCTGTCTGCCTGCCTATGATATTGTCTACCTTTAGTCATTACAATTTATTTCACTTGGGTGCTAACATGTACGTATTACATAGTTTTTCAACACCGATTTGTAGTAAGTTGGGCATGGAGCAGTTTCTCGGGCTCTACCTGTGTAGTGGTGTACTCTCATCCCTCGCAGGAGCCGCCTTCAAAGTTCTCATCAGAAGCTCAGTTCCTTCTATAGGGGCTTCAGGAGCCATCATGGGAATGCTGGGGTACTTTTGCTCAAAATATCCCGACTCCAGACTGGGTATTATTTTCATCCCTAATTTCAACTTTTCAGCAGAACAAGGTCTTATGGGCATTATGTGCCTTGATACAACGGGCCTTATTTTGAGATGGCGTTTATTCGATCACGCCGCTCATCTGTCAGGAGCAATATCAGGTATAATGTATGCCAAGTACGGACAACAACTCTGGGAGAAGAGACGCCCCATCTCACACAAGTGGCATGAATTGCGAGAAACGTTTACTCCAACTAAAAGTCGATAACTATAGTCATACCGCTGCAATTTTTTAACTGTCATTATGCAAGTGTTAGTTAATTTAGTGGAGAATAATTAGATTAATTTGGATAATAATTGTTGGTTAATTAATTAGAGAAACGACAAATTCGATGTTAAAAAATAAAATTTAGTATTGTCTAAATTTTGATGAGAATATATTTATGAGTCAACTATCCGACTCTGCACACTTTTGTCATCATAACCATGTTGTTGCTGTCACAGATTATCGAGTTTTTAAGCAGTTCCTAATTTATTTTTCGGAATGTGTTGCTCCACATTATCGTTCGGTAGATTATGTGTCAGTTGTACACATGATACATTTGGGGTTGCGTCTTGTAGATTGTTGTGGCATTCTCCCCTTAGATAAAAGTGTGGCAAGTTACGTTTGTATGTAGGGTTCGAGAACCCTCAATGCTAGTGTCGTGCGGAGATAATTGTAAGAAATATTTTCTGTACTACGCCAAACTTGATTTCAGTAAAATATAATCAGTCACTTGCATTTATCAATCGCTATCTTACCTTCAGGCAGTTCAGGATGTATTCAACATCTATACTCATGAATTAAACGATCTAAATTTTTTTTGGGAGGGGGGGGCACTGCTGAATTCAGTTTTCCACTGTCGAAGACTAACTTACAACATAAGTGAAAGAACCTTGATGTCAGCAATGACTGCCGCAAATTAATGTAGAGTCTTAATCCCTAAATAAACTCCAATTTACTACCTGGAATGCAAAATAACCATTAATACGAGGAATATTGAACAGAGTACCTGAAAACAATACTGCTCCATAAACAATGCTCGCTAATTACTGTCGAAGGATCTAATATTAGGACAGTAATCAAAGGGACAATTACGTATATTTTTCTTTACTGAGGCACCGTTTGAACCACTGAAATATTACAAGTTTCTCTATAAACGTGTTCCAAGGCAACAACAACAGTAGGATGAATAATAATAAGTAATAATAATGAATGATGACAAAAATATGAGCGGCACACTAATTACATACTGAAGATAAATCACAAGTAGATAATTTGAGGTCAGGTTTGAGTGGATATGTTGGCTGTCATCACGCAGTCTCAGAAGCATTGGTATCATTGAATAGAACCTTGGCGCCTATTAGCTTCATTTCGAAGGAAAAAGAACGTTTTCATTTCGTGCATGAACTAAATATGCTACAACGAAAATCCAACTATTTATTGAAATTTTATATTCACATTATTCACTCCAACATTTAAAAGTACTCGCTAGGAGTAAGATATATATTAAAATAACTTCATGGCATGAGTTTCATGAAAATAATACTAATTGGAACAGGACAAGTTGCCTAACTTAACGACCTGAGGCTTAGAAGTTGTATCGCAGTGAGAGGGATTTCTTTGGAGTCTTAAGCAAGCGGAAATGTTCAGCTTATGTTACGCGACTTTCTACCTGCCCTGATGTCAGCATTTGACTGGGAATGGAGCTAATATCAGCACGTGACTGGCAGGACTGTCGCCGGTCACTTGCAGATGTCAGCAGGGGCATGTCAGCCCGAGCTACTAGGTATTGTGTGCGTTGTCTCACTGCTGATCAACTGGCAATGACGATTATGAGGGAGGCGTAGAAACATCAAAGAAATAGGCGTCTTGCACTCGACTTTCTCGTTTCTGCGATCTGGAGTCTAAGGAATGCATGGAGCGAAGTCATTCCATAAAAAATACCAAGATCCATTATAAAACTGGTACCGTTTGAAGCGCCCTCGTTAGAAACAGAGGAACCTCACAACATCCTACTGAAATTCGAGTGGAAAAAGGCCACGTAAGATTGCGTGGGGTGGCGCATACAGCGGTCATTCCCAAGCAGAAACATCAAGATCATTGCACCAGCAAGCAGTTCACCAATAAATAAAAGTGTACAGTATTAGTAAGGAATTGCTATAGCTATCACAGCTCTATTACACACCTCAATGTACAAGTGAGAGTAACTTTCAAACATTTTTACATGATATTGGAAACAAATGGTTGGATGAGATATATAATGGTAAGTCCTAATAAAATAAAAGAATAATAATCAAGCGAAAGTTTTCCACTAACGATGACGTCATGAAGTGTGCATCAGAGAACATCAAATCTACCATCAATGAAACTGAGTTGACGCAGCAGACGGAAATGACGCGCCTGTTTCTGCTAAATAAGAGTTGTAAAAAACATAAGAGAATAAATAGTTAAGGATTAGTAAATCAAAGGACGAGAATGAGGCAGTTAGTGGCACATAAGCTAGAGACTGCTGAGTAGTAAGGAAGCATCCCACTTGAATTTCTTATCTACAAAATTTACGAGGCAAGATGACGGTAGGGACGGGCTCAGGAGGCCACTGCGCTTCGTACTAATCAACATTGCAATGCTGCTCGACCACAACACTTCACGCTAAACAAATCACCATGAAAATAAAACAAACATAAATATACTTAGGACTAAAGATATTAATGACAATATATTAATTTACTCAAGACAGCAGACGAAGTCCTACTAGATCCCAAACATACAACGGAACACAATAGAAAGAGACGCAGATGAGCGAATATTGGCTTTTGATCCTAGGCATTGAGCTCAGCAAAGAAAAAAAACGAAGAATACGCATCTTTGGAGGGAGTGGGTGGCATCGAAGCTTATCAACGTAATCATTTTATGATTATTACTGAGCAACTTCATCAACAAAGGTCAGACTTTAGAAAAGTTAGCACCACAAAAACACGGCGGTTTCATCGTTAACTTATCGAATAACGCGAGATTTTGGATACATTCCTGATAGGTGAACTCAACACACGTTGCCATCAACCAGGAGTCTAACTAGAATATACACAAGGTCTTGACTCAGTAACACGGCAATTTCAACATGGCTTAGAAGGAAGAAATTATGAGCGTCGGTGAAGGGTGACAGCAAGTCTAAGGAAGGAAGATCAGCAATGGAGAGATCCTCGTGGCATGGTGGACACGGCCCTCTGTAGCCTCTAATTACACACCACCGTTGTACCTGCAAAATAAACCTTGTCAAATACAAGAACAACAAGTTCACCTAAAATCGTAATTTAGCGACGTTTATAATACCACACAAAGTGAACATCATTTAAGGTTTGAAATCGTTATTTGTGACGATGGTTACCAAACTAACATACTTTTAAAGCTATTTTAAAGAAGGTAACTGCAAAGATTTCAAAGGAATGAGAAAATCTCAGGCAGCAATTGAAGCTTTTGAAACTTATCATGGTGAAGACAGCAACGATAATTATAATAAATGCAGGGAAAATTATGAAATCAAATCGAAAAGAGAATAGCTACATGTAAAAAAATATTCTGATCAGCCACGGAAACAAACCTGCAGCCACGTACACAGTTTTAGTGAACTTGCATTTACTCACGAGTGCATTAACAAGCTAAGCATGGAGCCGCTTGCATCACACGTTCAAAATTTATAGTTTCGGGACAGATAGGTTGGAAAACAAATAGATTTACAAAAGGAAGAATTAAAATTGGTGATACTGAACTGTATGTCATTTCGAGTATGGTTTCATAACTTTCAAGGTTGATTGCTATCGCATTTATGATTTACGAGCAGTGCCCGGGTGTGTAAATTCTCCAAAGGGTTTGAGTTGCAATTAAGGCAGAGGATAAGACAGTTGCATGAAGATGTACCTAACGATAAACATGGACTAAAGACTCGGCATAGAGAAAATTGAAGATGGCTACAGATCCAAAATTATTGCACTGTTATTGGTGTCCAGTGAACACTGCCACTTGGTTGCCAGTTTGAGTGTAAATTGTGTGACCTCAGGAATGTGGCATCTTAACTCACCTTAAGAACGTGAGTTCGAAACTAATCCCGTCGTCAATCAAGGACCTGAATTTCCTGATGGAACTTTGCTTCCATCGCCAACTGGTAGATCAACTTCCTCAACTTTGGTAGCGAGGGTTTCGACATCGTTTTTTTCTTGAGTCTCGGTATCAATTTCCATTTTTTCGGAAGTATCTTCCACTGATTTTCGGTCGGCCACATTAGCATCTTCACACGCTTCGGAAATTTGCTCTTCCACTTCAGCCGTTACAGTTTCTTGAGTTGCAAGATCCTTCAATAAACTAGCAATTGGCTTTGGCTCGGCTAATTCATGTTTTTCTACATCGCTTTCTTCGGAATTAGGCACAGCTCCAGACTTTAAAACGCCAATACCAGCCAGGAAACTGAGGAAAAATGTCACAGTACAAAGTAAAAGAAACATGCTTAAAACTGTTAAAACTCAATAAAATGAACAAGTGCACATTTTTAAAATAAAAATCCTACAATATTCTTTAATAACGAAGTGATTAAAAAATTGAAAATCTAAAGATGGGAAAAGTAAGCGGGCTAGTGGATGAAGAAAAATCGCTACACACAAGTACGTATTTTTGCAGTTGTGATCAAATTTATTTTCCTGCGAGTGAAATCGAAGATTAAATGTAAAATTCTGATAAGCGGCTAAGTTTAGTAATCAAGTAATAAATCAAGCGGCTAAGTTTAGTTACATGCCTTGATCTATTCTATAAGAGGAGACTCTCGTCGCAGCCATGAAGCACTTACTGGAAGTTGGACTGTAGTTCCTGGTCTTTTTGTTCGTGTTGTGTTAATGTGGCAGAAGCAGACGAGTCTTGAGTTCCATCAACGGCACTGCGACCACACACAAGCGACATGCTGGTTATTCCATGCAAGCGTATAAGCAACTACGAGTACTTCCAACGATTAGTGCGTGCATTCGTGTTCTGTTACTTAAGATGATGTAGAATGAGATGGCCCGTCAAGGTAGAACACTCATGCTCACGTATACTTTCACAAGTCACGCACGTTCAATCTCACATGAACACGTTCACACTCGCGTAACATTCACAGCTCGTGCACGTTTTAACTCTCTTATATATTTACATTCACATTCACAACTCTTGCACGTTTCAACTCACTTATACATTCACAATTCGCGTACGTACGGTAATTCGTTCACATTCAAAGGTCACGCACATTTACATACAAATCAGTAAAGGTTTCAAAATGAAACGTAAATTTTTAGAAAAAAATTCTTGATACTGTGAAAAAAGAACATTGAAAATCTTTACCAAACTGTCAATAAAAATTTAAACTCATTATAATTCAGAAAATTCAAGATCATGTAAAATTCAAGATCATGTTAATTGCCTCGCGAAAAAGAAAGAATAGCGTGGAATCTTGCTGCTAACAGGCAACATTTCTCATCACGACCAATTTAAACATCACATTCAAAAAGCACTAGTTTGGTTCATTCAAGACCTAAGAATTACTGGGCTTAACAACCTAAGTATTCATAGAATATCTTCACTGAAGGATGAACTTATGACGCTTGCATGCGAAATTATTTACAGCGATATTTACATGCTTACATATTTATTTGCAAAAATCACTCAGAATTGCAGCGATGAACCACATTGTGTTCGCGAATCATTTGAACGGATGTCAATGCAATGCTAGCAACTACAAGCGAGTGCGACGTATAAGACTGGGCAAATAAGTTTCAAGTTTAATTAAGAACTCACCTGCTCGGAGCTTCACTGGCGACATCCTCAGGAACGAGCGCTCCATTTCCGCCTCCTGATCAGGCAGGGTTAGAATTTGTATGATGTTGTATTTGTTTTTAATATATCAAAAAAATACACACGTGAACCTCGGCTATCAATAAAATATCTATTTTCAAGAATTTGGATAAGAAATTAAAAAATATCCTAAGGAATGTAGTGCGAAAGTGGGCCGCAAAGCAAGTGGATTCAGAAGGCAATTCGAAGTCAAAGGATACAAGAAATTAAATAGTAAGACTAGCTAATAAATTAAAACAAAGCATCACATAAGCTGAAAATACATGCATGAATTATGTTAAACTCGGCAGTAAAAATGGCCATGGCATTTCAAAGCTTCCATGAGACAAGAGTTCGACTGACACTCACCTGTAGCAGATTCCGTCGACTCAAACGACGCGAACTGGGCATTGAAAGACGTCAAGTCCTCAGAAGGAGCGGCAGAATTTCCAGTACTGTCCGCGGATTGAAAAGTCTCGAAAGGATTCGTGCCTTTGAAAGGATCGGTCGGAGCTGATGAATCGAAAGCACTTGCACTAAAGTTGGCCCAGGGGGGTATCTGGGTGGCCTCAGTGTCTGAAGTCTGAGGACTGCCCGCGGACCAGGGATTCACTGCCGGGATGGGCCCAGCAACAGGAGATGTGGTTCCTGTGCTCCATGGATTAAAATCTGCGGGTGGAGTCGAGGCAGAGGAGGGGGAGCATGATGGAGATGAGGAGGGGACAGGAGCTGGCATAGGTACGGGTACTGTAGTGGTGGAAGTCCGTGGGAAAACTCCTGCAGAAGCAGCGACAACAGGGGCGGGCGGGTCACTACTGCGTCGGTCAAACACAGACTCCCAATCTGTCGACAGCAACGAAAATTTGAACATAATCCTTCAGTTCTTGTGTCATTACCATGTCATACAATGCAGTGTTCAAGTTGCAGGTTGATGACAAGGAAAATAAACTCAAATCCATATGGCATGATAGGATTTTGATGGAACAGTGACAATTTACGCTGCCTATCTCTATATTATCATCACACAGAAAGCGTCCAATTAATTTAGTTACTAAAAATCGTTGGAGTACCACAATGTCAATATTTAGGGAAACGTCAAATAAAATCCCTAAAAACCAATACAGAGATTTAGGTCTCTTCTTAGACGCTTTGAATATTGATGCCGGAAAAATGTCACACTCTTTAACTACTTGCTTCAATCCAAGAGCTATTATCTTAACTGAAAATTCAGATGATGTTGAAGTTAAATCACTAAAGCTGACCATTAAACACCCTCGAGTACCGTAATAGCAGGCTTTAACTTGACTTTCTAAGAACACGACTTGCGAAAGGATCATGCAACGAATGATTGGAGCAATCGTATTCAAGACTCAATAAAAAGTCTTAATAAGGGCAATAGTCCAGAAGCCCTGGCTGGTTGTCAATGCACGCCACGGACGGTGACGGACCCAACAACGCACCGTCTCGTAGATCATCGACCTCCATGGAAGTATCCAGGCGTCCCGAGTTCATATCGTCCTTTTCGTTCTCATCTTCTTCGTCTGAGCTGTGGACTTCAGCGTCATTTCTGAGAAATGCAGGAGCAAAATTAATCCAGTTAATGCAAAGTGAGAACGATACGTCATGAGTGATAAAAAAAAGTTATTGTACCTCCAAAAATATCTCTAGATACTTTAAACTGTAATATAAGGTCCTTTCCACGTGATCGATGCCATTGCTCACCGTGATTGCTGTATTTGTCGCACGACAATTCTTTCCAAAGCCATGTTCTTTTAAATTTCACAAAATTGACGACTCCAATAAAAGGGCAAAACTGTCACTGTCTCAGTATCAGGTTTTATTAATCTCACAACCTAAGACACAAACAACTGAAGACAAAATACTCACACTGTATGTGCATTAGGAGCGAAAGAAATGGTCTGTTCCTTGTCATCCCAGAACTGATCGTCCGTGGCGCTATCGCTGAACAAATTCTTCCTGCAGAGCTTCTCGAAGAGATCAGCAGAGCCGGCGTCTGAATTGGCCCCATCGAAATCGCCCGTGGGAGAAGAGTGGCCAGCGGTGGCGCCCGAGACGGTGCAGGAGGATGCGGCGCCGGTAGACGTGTTGGGCGTCTCGAAGCCGTTTTCGTCGAAGGACAGACTATAGGTCATAGCATTGATCATGTCCTTAGCCGTCCTGGGGTGTGATCATAGTTAGGGCACGCAGGTTGGTAGCGTTATGGGAACACGCTCATCACGAGAGGAATAAGTCTAACTGCAATGCTACCATTAGGTTAAAACAAACTACTATTAATCATGGATCAGACTCTCAACGTAGATCATCAAGAAATAAATTGATATATGCAGTCATGAAAAACTGATATTTGAAGAACTTGTTATACGGGAAAGAATCAGGCCCCCAAAATTCCCACAAGAATGTTAGAATGTTCCTGAAAATGTGTATTGAAGACTCCCACAAAAGAGCGACTCACAGAGACCTTTAATGAAGGGCATGCTCTTGACCTTGTAAAATAGCAGGGCGGTAAAATATATTTCTACGTGCCATCACAGTTGAGAGCTCGATACATAAAACAGCAAGACACCAACGATTGTTAGATCTGTATACGACAAAAATATTTCAGGACCACCACCTTTCTAAGCTAAGTGTTATCATAAATTCTATCGGCAATAGAAAATCTGGCACAGTTTTTTACAACGAAAATGGAACGGTTATTGTGATTTGGACTATAGGACATATGAATATAACTTTGGAAAACTCGAATCTCAGAGAAAAAGGTTCTTCGCACTAGCTCAAGAATGTAAGAAAGTATTCCTATTTAGAATTTCCATAAAATAATAAGGCAAAACGAATTATAAATTAACAACTTTTGAATATTAATAAAGTGAGTAAATAATCTGATGAATATTTACCGGACAACATCATTGAAAGGATTCTAGCAGGGATCAAAACTGAAATTAAGAGGAGGAGCATAGTCTTCTCATTCAATCTCCAGGTTGAGACAGAGACAGGCATATATCAAAACCAACAAGATATCATTCATTCAGATTTAGAGAAGTCTGTGCTACGCCAAAGTTAACATAAGTAATGCTGACCACAGTGTCCCATCGCTTCACCCTAAACAATAGTGCAGTGTACCCTCACTTCAACGAACTAATTCGTGTTTGGTTGTCGAGCGCTCGACACAACACACATGGGAGCAATGCAGGGAACGCTGGTCGAAGATGCTAAGGGGTTCTGAATGAAAGTTAATGAAACTTCGCCTGTGCGGTTTTTCAGAGGTCTAGAAGCATTTATTTTTTCCATAGGTCCAGAAGTATTTAAACGCATTGAAATGAAATTTTCGCGGGGACGTCATATTTCATATTTTTAATGGATTTTGGAACTTGTTCGTTGAAGCGAGAGTTCGCTGAATGAGTTATTACAGCATTTGTTGCCTCAAGCTTCAGCAACTATACATTTTAATTTCTATATTTCTAGTCACACTCACTGCATGTCGTCTTCGGAGATCTGCAGCATATTGTCCGTCTGTGGAAGAAACAAGCAAATTCTACATCAACACCAGCATCAAGTCTCAACTCTCGAATCAAGACTATAATACTTACATAGAAAAAAAAAGTTAAATATTTTCAAGTTTTCATCATAAACTAATTTAAATATAAATTTCATAACAATCGTTCTTCCCCAAATGACATGATTACAAAAGAGTTGTGAGGTGAATAAACGCGGAAGATGCCACAAGGCAAAAACTAATTTAACTTTGTTCTCAATTAATACCAGAGATATTAAAAAAAAACACAAATAAAATATCTTTCTTCTCCCGCGCTACGTTTTGCACACAAATAAAACAATCTTGGTGTAAAGAAAACATTTTCAATAAAGATAGGAAATTTCTTAGATAACTTTGAGACAACTTTTCCCAACTTAAAACTTTTCTATAAAACTTTTCTAAATTCTAAAGACTAAAAATTCAGTAAGCGTATCAATTAGACATTATATCAGTTAATTCCTCCAATTTTTTGGTTATTGAGGAAAATGGCTGAGCAAAAATCAATGAACGTTCGGTCAAGAAATTGACGCGCATAATCCGATATTCAGACTCTTCACTGGCGCATGTTAATATTTCCAGTATGAGTCGCAATTGAAAAAACGTCGCTATTGATCCACAATTTCTAACTGAGGACGGAGTGCACAAGGCTAAGTAGAGAAGATAGCGCGTACTGACATGTAGAAATACATGACCACGGAAAGTATCAGTAGGGAAGATTATGTCATAAATCAAGTAGTCATAGTTCGTGCAAATCAAGCCTCCTATGCATGGTATCCAGGCGCCTAAATAGCAAATTATACTACACGCTCAAAATCGATATTTCCAACAACCCTCAGAATCTAAATAACGAAATACAACTTCTCAGAATTGTATTCTGTAAAAAGTAATGTCGACAACAGCCCTGGGTCCTATGTAACTCTTCGCCAGAGAGATTGTATTTACGATTCCAATTCTATGCTTGCACCAACGAACGCAGCTATTTGAATTTTAAGTGGTATTTCAATACATGCAAGGATATACAAGCATAAAAGTACGGAAAAGTGAAACTAACAAAAGTTCGAAGGTCATGTAGAATGAGCAATGCTACGAGTAGCATCGAACTCAGCATTTACTTGATAACATTCGCGTGGTTAGCAAGAGCAAAATAAGCTCTGGGATACGTACAAGTAACAACATATTAACCTGGGGCCATACTTTCAAAACTCGCTAAGTGAACGTAAGTACTTAAGCTCTATTTTCTTGTCTATGATTGGTGGATTTTGCTTGAAAGGCCGTCAATGATTGGTTGATGAACTTATGATCTCTTAACTTTTTTTGAAAGTATAGGCCCCGGTTAGTAAGAATAACAACATATTTACGCGGTTAGTAAGAGCAAAAACATATTCTCTTGGTACGAAAAGTAACCGCATATTCTTTTGACGAGCGTCAAGTAAAATATTTGGCAGTATTGTCTCGAGTGACTTACGTATTCACTGAATACTCGATTGTTTAGGTAGTAAACCGAGCGACATGAAGATGAAATTAGCAGCAACTTTGTACTAATTTCAAGTGAAATGAAAGTGCAACAAATTTCGCATTGACATTAATGAACGAGAATAAAACGAAAAAACCGTAGTAAGTCTGGCATTAATCAGTTAGAATTATCGACAATCTCAGGAATGGAATGAACAATTTTAACGTGGAATAAGTCACGAAATAAATTACTGATAGTAAGTAATGGATTAATGAAGGATGGCGCATTTACGTTGCGTTTTCTTTGTTTTCATATTCATTGTGAACTTGCGATTTAAGCAAACAAATTATGTACGTACTTAATCACACGTTGCGCACGCTGAAACCAGCAGCACAGTGAAGCTCCTAATTTACATTCTCCGCCAATACCTCAGTTCACTCCTATATTAGCGGGTTGCTTCCACGTTACAGGGAAATTTTATTTACGATTTTATAAACGCTACTTACGGTACAAATAATCCATTTATGTTTAGATGATAAGGTAAACGTGCAGCTAATATACAGGCGTACTTATTTCTCACTTAATCCTATGTTACTCAAAAGAAAAATGAACGCCAGTAACGGCATCCGTGAAGATAATTTTTAAAGAAAAATGGTTATATCAATTTTAAAAATTCTTTAATCGATGCAAATAAAAGCGTGGGGGCAAGACTGCTGAATGACAAACGCTGGGTATAGGTTAGAGTAAATAATCTATGGATGTTATAAACATTTCAGATTTACAGGCTTGAACTCAAGATTTTGGCAACCAAATTCAAGTATTACATAGAAGCGTCACAAATTAGTCGCCGCATTTTTTATCCGCACGACTCCAGGGGCCATACTTTCAAAACTCGTCAAGTGAACGTAAGTACTTACGCTCTATTTTCGTGTCTAAGATTGGTGAATTTTGCTTGAAAGGCCGTCAATGATTGGCTGATGAACTTAAGATCTCTTAATTTTTTTTGAAAGTATAGGCCCAAATATATTACTTGGACTGCAGTAGATCAAGATCCAAAGCAACTGCGCACAAGCAATCGAAGTCCATAGGCAACTTCTAGAATTGATAGTCAACGGCGAAGATTTGACGTAACATCAAAAACTAAAGACGATTGACAAACTTCAACCCCAAGCTATCTTATTTTTACCATACAAATATACTCGACTTATTGTGAGCAGCAGCAGTGGAGGAAATTGCAGACTAAACGAACGCGTCAAAACAATTATTATTCGACTAAATTCTGAGGTCTGCGATGCTTGTAATTGGTCTCTAATGTCGTTTAGATCAACTGTAGTTTGCTGATAGGATTAAAAAAACACTTTCCATAATCCTAGAAAATGTTTTTGAGCAAAGGTAGTAAATGTAAGTCTCTGTCCGAATCGGAAGCAATCATTATTGAAGATCTTCTACGTAACTAACGAGTGTGCGATCAAAGCTCAGGCAATCAACTGATTAACACGTTGAAGTTATGTAGTGCATTCAGGGTGAAAATAAAGTAACATTTATCGACCTTCCAGTCGAGCGATACTTGTCAAGAAATGTTACTATTAGAAAACAATAGAGAATTTCACACGGTGCATTTCGTTACTAAGCACCTTATGGGAAGCTTCAAATTGGAAGAGGCAATTTACACGTGTATCCATGATACGTACCGAGTCGCGTTATTTTATGGACCTCGAGTTTCGTTCTTTAATGGTCAAATTTCGAGGCATTTAAAAGCACGGAGCTGGCAATGAAAATTTATTGTTCCAATCAACTCTTAATAAATAATTAAGAGTTAATTAATTAATAATTAACTCTTAATAAATGCTAACTAAAACTCTTAATAAATGCCAAACAGGAGTTAGACGTGTATTGCAGGTTAAATATGATTTTAAATGTGTCTCGCTTCGTAACAGCAGTCTTGTAATTATTTACAGGATTCACGATTAATTATAAAAAAAGATTCGGAATACCGGGATTCCGAAACTTAAAAGCATTTATGGCGGTCAACGACGCAAAAGCTACGACTGTTCCAGTGTTCCATAAGAAGCTTTTCCTGGCAACTGTCAGTTCGATGTTTTATTAAGTAAGTTTATAATTCCTTATATTCGGAGTGCCATCAAACAAACGCATGTCATATATGTCGTGCAGATGAACAAGAGCTAGTAATAATTTATGAAGCATTGCACCACGCCACATCATTAAGTGATACTTGTAAAAATATCCCACGAAATCCTAAAAGCCCTTCACATTTTCTTTTGGGATAATAGAATCAGACGAAGATCAAGATGTATACCCCAATCACTTGTTTATGTCGTAACATTGATCATTGACCATGCATAACTTTTTTTATTGCATTCGGGTCTGCTGATAATCACCGATATAATGAAACTCGACCATATGATGACAGTGATGAAAAAAAGACGTCATAATACCGCTAGATATACAGGCATCCTCATTCGAGGAAATTTCTTAATCCTGGCACGCATTCGAAGGTTCAAACCAACTGCGCGAAACCGAATCTCAAGATAAATTAAATTCAAACAAAGTACTATTAAAGTAAATGAGGGATGCGAACGGAAAGAAGGACACCACACGAAGGATGAAAGCGAGCATCAGATCCACAGAATGGGAACAAACAAAACTGCACATAGTTTCCTCAAGCGATAAATGAATGCCACACACGGGGAGGGTTTCGACGAACCTGCAATGCGGGCTGGTGAGAGCCTTTGAATATCCTGACATCATCGTCTTCTGAATCTTCGAAGTCGAACAACATCTGATGACCCTGCAAAGCACCGGCGCACATACACCAAGAGATGAGATTCTGTTCTCGTGACATGAGAGGGTATAGCACGCGGCGTCAGGTGGCAAGGATAATAAAGGTACATGAGTTGCTTAGGGTAATTATTATCGAGAATAGGACGAGGTAAAGTGATTCATTGAGCACCGTGTGCTGCAAAGGTCAATTGGTGTCAGGGTGCGTTTGTCAAGACGAAACAATGGTAAGGAAATAAGTACACTCACAATTTTGGGTATGTGCATTGTATGCCGATTGAAAGATAACGCTTGCGGTAGATTGTGACTAATTACGCGTGATGTGACGAGTATGGTTGATGAGATACTAAGAGATAGGAAGGTTGTGTGCACTAAATCAATACTGGTCTGGTTAGAACTCAAATTTGAGACGAAATAGACGTTCTATAGTCGTTGGTAATGTTTTTTCATGAGCTAAAATGCAAACCAAGAATTAACGACGTCTGATCGAGAGGCGATATTTAACGAGTAGGTTAATAGGTAAAAACGTCTTCAATATTCAAACCACGGAGAGATCGAATGCAAGTATTCGTTATATCGAATTAATACGGTGAAAATCAACCTAACGAAAAGCTTTTGTATTGGCTATTATTTCCAATGAAAACAAGTGGAGCCTAAAACACTATGAGCACACATCGTCACCAGTAGACAACGCAGCAGCAACCCACCAGAAGCGGATACTTCAACGACCTTCTGCCTAACACCAAGTATCAAATACTTGGAACAGCGTGCGATCGCGAGGACTTTCTTCCTACGTGCAGCAAAATTATATTTATAGATACGTGAAGGATGATGATTGTTTAAATATTGCCGAGCTATCTTGCCAAAAAGAGCAAGTCTAAATTCAGTTTTCAACACATTAAGTCTTGAAGTAATAGCTATACTTTTTCAGTGGTTCATTCGGTTGGTCAAGTCAGGACCGAGCGACTAGACTTGGTGCAAATGCACCACTACACGCAACTTCTTCACCCAAACAAGCGTCCACAAAAAATATATTTTCCTCGGTGTTAAATAAATCGAACTACCAAACTTGTCGAAGGCAAGAACAAATGCAAACGGTCGCGTGCAAATCACCAAGATACAACAGATGACAGTAATCATGCACTCTGCTCATAGACGTCAAAATGAATAATGTCTACAATAAAAACTGACTCGACAACTTCGAGTCAATTCAGTGAAAGAAAATTATTTCATTGAAGTTTCAAGATGAGAAAACAAAAATTGGACAGATAAATTCAAGCTAAATTAACAATTTAACGTGAGCTGACACAAAACAAGTGAACATCAAATGAAACATCAACGCAGAATCGGACTAAATAAGATACGAGCAACTCGAGTGAATGTGCCTCCATTTTCCTCAGCAATCGCACGTAACGCAAAACTCAATTGTAACAGCTGAATGATGATGAAAAATGCAAATAGCTTCATTTTTAGAGATAATATTTTGGGGTGAAGTCGCAGCAAATGATGCATTTTGACATTGCGTTGCAATTAGTGTGCAATAATTCCGTTGTTCAATCTCACTTCTGATTAATCGATTCGAATGAAGCGTAAAATATTACAAAGAAAACATCTCTATGCTTTCAGACTAAAAAATTATTAGAGGTAATTTCCAACACCTTAGAAAGATAGGAGAGAAATTAGTACTAAATTTTGGCAACGATCACGGTAAATATCATCACTAGAGTGCATGACATGTCATTATTAATCCGTTGTAAACCACATCAAGGAGATATTTTTAGTTAATAGTGAACAATTCACATCAAATACAATTTTTATCCTATTCATTTGGGGAATGAACGTTGCACTCAACAACCTCACGCATAAGCGTTCGCAATAAGACTTGAACGAAGTACGGCGCTTAATGAATTTTTTTCTTATAATCACAGAATTCTTTTCACCCACTTCCTGACAGAAAAGGTTTGACCACTCAACACGAACCTGGTTTGAAATAAAGAACGATATGGAGCATCGACTTTCATTTTCACTTTAAAAAAAACTTAAAAAAACGAAACTGCATCTAGTGCTCCGATGATACTTATAACAAGTTTACTGGTATTATTTATCAAAAGTTATCATTTGTCTGCATCACAATTCATACAAACCTAACCGCATACCCAGCTTTGTACTAATGTGCTACACATAATACAAGTCTCTCGCTATCTTATTAAGAACCAACTTCGGAAGACACTCGACGATATCAGTGTAAGCAACTGACCACAATCAAGCAGTGGAAGATGGTTCATGCATTAATATATAAAAAGAACGATGGGGTCTGTACTACTCACAGGCAAGGGGTTGACGGAGTTGGCTGCATTAGCTTCAGCCAGAACGCTTTTCTGGAACTCGGCCCAGTCTTCCTGTATGTTGTTGTCCAGCGACTGGAATTACGAAAAAGGTCATTAATAAGAGCTAAATCTAATTAAAATTGGTTGTAACCAAACATAAATCTAGTTATAATCATTATCATGCTTCTGGCAATCTACTATCATTTGCCCATCTTTCTATACATGTTAATATTAGATAGAGCATTCTAAAAGTCAGTTCTGATCATAATGCGTTCTAGCACGAAGTCAAAGAATTAGAATCTGTGATGATATCAAGGCCTGCCTTTCAAAAGTTATGAAGACAAATGCGACAGCGCAACGGATTGGTATAGCATCAACGGCATCAGCATTAAGTGATTGATACATAAAAAATGAATTGAATAAAATAGTGCAAAAAGCCGGTAGCCCGTAGAGCGTCCGCGCAACTTGTCTGCACTCAGACAGTCCCGCAGTGACACGTCACAAGCAGCACCTGGAACTTGTCTGCACTCAGACAGTCCCGCAGTGACACGTCACAAGCAGCACCTGGAACTGGTCTGCACTCAGACAGTCCCGCAGTGACACGTCACTAGGAGCACCTGGATGAGCGCGTTGAGGAGCGCCGCGTTCTCGCCACCAGAGACGAGGTCGGCGACGGTGTTGGCAATGTTGCGCACGTGGCCGCGGTAGCCGCACAGGCTGCCTCGCGGCGGGGGCGGCTCACTTCTGGTCATCACAAGAACTTCATGTAAAAGAATTTCTTTAAAGAATTCAAGAAAATATTCCGATTAACAAGAAATTTTGGTAAAACGTTTCCGGTTGCGAGAAATTTTGGTAGAACCAGATACAAGGAATTATTGTACAACTGTAAACGTTGTAACAAATTCTATAGAGTAATTATGTTTACAAAAAATTATTGTATTCTTATTATTGTTACAAGGAATTCTAGTAGAACAAGAGGCGTTACGAAGAATTCTTATGGAAGAATTAATTGTTAATAGGGCACGATTAAGTAGTACTAGTATTAGTTACACAAATAATAGAAAACCCACATAAACTAGACTAATAATAATTTAATTTATCTACAAAATAGTTTCAATATTAAAAATAATTTTGTATATTAGTTAGTACAAAAGTTTTTATAAATTTAGTCATTCTAATAAAATGCAGTGTCATTTAAGCAATTTCAAGTCTACAATCAGACTACAACTTTTCCGATTAAATAAATTCAAGTAAATTTTGAAATTATTTACAAAATAAAATCTCTATTCACAATTTTATTAAGATCAAATACATATTTATAAAAAAGTATGGAAAAATCATAGAGAGATTAACGTATTCAAACGAGAACGTAGGGATGCCTATGGTGAAACATACACTCTGGTAAACTCACTGCGAGCCAAACTGATATGTGCTGAGGATCCTACTGATGAGCCGACCATCTCTGAACAGCTGGCACAGTAACGGGTGGCTGTCTTCGTCTGGAGCAACACTGTCACCTGACACACAAAACACTTTAGTAACACAAGCAAATAGCAAGACCTGTGTATTTTATGAGTGAAAAATAATCAAGATGAATAGGAGCAAAAGAAATCTTACGTGGCAAGAGAGTTTTGAGAGAAGAAGATCGTCATAAACACAATGAATTTAGATTGGAACGAAAATAAAAAATTCTTAACTCATATCGATAATCGTTTCCTACAAAATTGGCAATTTTGCAAATATTTGAGAGCGCAAATTTCTTAATAACTCACAAAGAAGGCATTCTGCACAAACCATTGGAATATATTGAATGAGGCGAGAAACGAGTAGTTAATTAAGAAGAACCTCTACACGAACTATCAAGTTCAACAACATATGGTGCACTCACCCGCGTTGGAAAGGTTAGTAGAATTCTGGACATTGAGCGCGTCTGATGAGATCATTGGTAGCTTGGCATCTTCTTTATTGTCACTAGGTACGATATTAGTATTTTGCTCGCCTAAACACGAGGGAATTTGTAGCGGGGGTAGCGGAGTAGGAGGGACTTGAATAGTGCCAGAGGGCAGAGGAACTTCAGAGGAAGTGGCATCCATATTATTGGAAGGAATGTTTGCATCACGAGGAACTGCAGCATTGCTATCACAGTCTGCGCTGCTCACTTCCATTTTTTCAGGGTCTTCACTAACATCGCCTGATGAATCTTTTCCACCAGGAACATCCCCAGCAGGAATAGACTTGTCGCCACAGTCTGGTGGCAGAGCAGCGGCACTAGCAGCAGCACAAGGCAGGTCCGCGTCTGCGTTGCTCTCACTGCCACCAGCAGGAGCTGCGTCACCAGCAGCGTCGCTCCCACCGGTGACGGGGAAGCGGCTACGGGCGAGGCGACGTGTCTCCTGCAGCACTGCGTCGGGAGGTGTTCTGCAGGGCGCCGCCTTCACCAGCAGGCCTGTGACGCAGCGCTCCACCAACGTGTGCAGGAAGTTGTTTTGGGGGAACTTGAAAAACAATTCCTGGAATCAAGAGAAACGCGATCAAACTTTTGAAGAAAATGATAATGGACAAAAATATAATAATCACTTGATGGCTTCTAAATTTAAAAGTAATACAAAAATGTTCATTTCTCAGAGACGCCAGTATATATCAGTGAACCTTGCGTGCCATCTTGTTCTTGCTGAGCAGCTCTCATCGCACAAAATTGACTGAAAATAATCCGGTTCTTTGTTTTTTAATACATTTTTTGCAACTCCCTAACCAGAATTATGGATCCCCACAAATTATGCACAAATAGTATGGATGCAGGTAGTAACATCAATACATGAATTTACTAGTTGAGTTCGTCATTGACTGTCATGGTTCAATGCCATACATTTTTGAGGCTACCACTTTGCAAACCGCTCACAGGTGACCTAGGCCGGTGATAATCTAGCTAATATTAAAGAGAATATAGCTAATAATAAACACTATGGCAATAAAATCATCGGTATTGGACCAAGTCATTCTGTTGACAGTAAGCATAATTTAGCATCTTAGCCATTAAATTGATTCCTTAACAGCTTCAATGATCCGTCTCAGTATTATATCTTTGTATGGCCGCTCGTCAGATTTAAAATAAAGTTATCAGCAAGACAGCAAAAATCAATTAATGAAATACATGCTGATGGACTTGCTGATGCCATGGTTGGTGTGAAGCTTCTTCTGAGCCAGCAGCACAGTACTCACTATAATGAAGGGGATGGTGAGCTGAGCGAGGGTGTGATGGATCTTATAGTGTCTGGGCCAGCAGCACAGTACTCACTATAATGAAGGGGATGGTGTTGAGCTGAGCGAGAGTGTGATGGATCTTATAGTGTCTGAGCCAGCACCACAGTACTCACTATAATGAAAGGGATGGTGTTGAGCTGAGCGAGAGTGTGATGGATCTTATAGTGTCTGAGCCAGCAGCAGCACAGTACTCACTATAATGAAGGGGATGGTGTTGAGCTGAGCGAGGGTGTGATGGATCTTATAGTGTCTGGGCCAGCAGCCCAGTACTCACTATAATGAAGGGGATGGTGTTGAGCTGAGCGAGGGTGTGATGGATCTTATAGTGACGCGTCTCAATCAAGGCTGTGATGAGAGCGATGAGGCGCAGACGCGTGTTGCCCACGCGCTCCACCACCTCACCATAGGACGTCTCCACAGTTTCCTGCAAACACTTACTATATCAGACTAAGCCTTGAGCCACATATATTTATTTATTAATAAATAAGGCGGTAACTCAGTTTTACGTGCATTACGCGATGCACAAACCAAGAGAATTGTATAGAAAGTCTTCTCTAAGAAGACCAAACAACATGTGGAAGACATCTTCAAACTAACAAGAGACTTTAATGATCATTAAGGCCAAGCTTGTAGATAACAACGTGGGCATGAAAATAATTAGAACCCTAGACAAGTGAATCGAAATATAATTTAACTGAAGTGAATATAAACTACAAAAATGCATTAAAACATCAAGATGCACGATCTAGTAAAATCCAAATGGTAATAAAAAATGAATACAAAATAATCAGGTGAAGTTAGAGGACAAAGCATTGACTAAAACATTCTTCCCAAGATAGACATAATATGCAGCATCAAATAAAAGACAGTCCAGGTCATTCTTATACTTGCCTGGATCTATTTTAGATATATTATATTAAAATAGATTTCTAGTTAAAACAAACGTGAGAACTCTAGAATTCACCAGTAGAGGTACTGAACAAAAAGGATATATTGATATTTTGTCCAAATCAAGTCTTTCAACTCAGATATATTTTGCATAGAATGTACCAAAGGGAACATGTGAACAATTCTCTGGAAAACTTCCTGTTTTTCAACAAAGGAACAAAACTATAACTTAAACCTAAACATTTGTGGGACTTGAAGGAACACAGAACTCAAGAGGATAGCTGCGAGGCAGCATAATCAAGGAGGCGAACTAAAGCCAGGATATCTAGGATTGCAGTTCATCATACAAAGTATTCAGGTCCGACGAAGAAAGCTGTTGGAATAGCTAGCATCTCGTTGTTTGCTGCATCAAGAACTGAGCAATATATTAACAATGAGCAAGTATTTATAAAAATATCAGCAATACAAAAATAAAACCTACTGTATTCAGTTGTGAAACTTAGCAATGTAGAGTGAAAGTTCGTCAATCGTTATTAACGTGGTTTAATATCAAAACCGTATGTAAAGCAAACTGAACATTACGTACTTACCTGCATCACATTATATGTCGCCTGACTCTCGACTCGCAGTGCGGTGGCAATTCTCCATAATTAGAGGCCATGAACACCGAGCATCACGTTGTTGCCTGGTCCACGGTGGCATTTCCCCACAATTAAAGACTGAGGTGTTTAATTAGAGTAGTCAGGGCTCACCGTGCAGGGCGCCGTGAGCATTTGGTGCAGCTGAGGCAAAATTGTGGCGACGGTGCGAGCAACGCAGAACTCGGGCGCCCCTGGCGACGGCAGAGTCTCGTCGCTCCCCTCGCTGCTGCCCTTGCCAGACTCGCTGCTCTCCTCACTGCAGTCAACAATATTACCCTAATGCTATATTTATTGATGTGTATTGATCAATACAACGGTCAATCACAAGTGGCCTGAAAGCCACAACGTTCCAACTACAGACTCGACAGTTGAAAGTAGGTTACATTGAAATTTTGTTGTAAGAAATAGATTTCATGGCAGTTGATTTTATCATCTAATATGAGTCGTTCTTCAGTCTCCTGTTATGCACATTATCACGGTTCAGGGTCAAAGAGCCAGGGTGGCAGTTTCTTTAAGCTTCACTACAGTCCAGACAAACGGCCGTGGCATGCATCAGAACCGCGCAGTAATGCATCTAGCCCCTTTTTTGGAAATGATGAGTGAAGTTACATGATGTCAAAAGGTATTTAGCGTTGTTTCCTATTGCGTTCCGTCCCTGTCCTAGCCATGTATTGTAAACTCTCGACTTTATAATGGGACAATAGCCTCCACAGATGTGCCCAGTGAAGGGTTAGGAAAGAAATAGTTTGTTTGATTATAAGAAAAAGAGAGAGTGCTGACCTGCGGAGATGCTGCATGGAGGCAGCGGCGACGTAGGCTGCAGTAGCGACCTCTTGCTCAGCGGAGGGACGGACGGCGACGCAGAGAACACACGAGTGTATGGACAGCATCTTCATGAGGACGTTGGTGACATGCGTGATGGAAGACGGCGTGCTGTTAGCGTGCAGTAAAATACCCAGCAACTGCTGCACAACGCGATCACTGCACAAAGTTTCATTTATTAGGACACACGCATAATAAACATATTCCCTAATTGGTAATATACATATGTAATACTATATATTATAGTATTATATAATACCACTCAACCAAATGTTATACCATTCATTTCATCCAATCGCACTAGGAATTCAAGTCATAAACTAAACTTTCTAAAAACATCAGCAGTTGAACAGAGTTTCCCAGATGCGTCCTAACTTATATTGCCTCACCACGGCGGGCAGCAATTTATTTCATAAAAAACATTATGGAAACAAAATTATCAACAAAGAGAAAGAGCTACAATGACATACAAGAAAAATTGTTCAAATTAACACCAGCTTCGGCCTCTAACATGCAGTAAATCAAATATAAGATTATAAAAAGCTCACTCACTTCAATATGAGAGGCAGGAGGCTGTTAGACATCATTTGGTTGTCCCTATTGTCCCCCCCAACCCCAGCAGCTGCTCCCCCGTTGCCCATGGAGCTGCCGTTGTGTCCCCCCAGAGACCCCATGAGACCAAGACTTGCTCCTCCCCCCGAGTCCAGAATGTCGCACATTAGCTGCTCGACGTTGGCTTGCTCGCACCACTCGTTCTCGGGACTAAGTTTCTCGATGAGCAGCGAGATGAGAGGAGTGTCGCGCACCCACTGCAAATGAGGGGAAAAATAAGGGTGATGCTGAGGGAAATAAAGGGTGTGTGGCGCACCCACTGCAAATGAGGGGAAAATTAAGGGTGATGCTGAGGGAAACGAGGGGCGTGTTGTGCACCCACTGCAAATGAGGGGAAAAATAAGGGCGAAGCTGAGGGAAACGAGGGGCGTGTTGCGCACCCACTGCAAATTAGGGGAAAATTAAGGGTGATGCTGAGGGAAACGAGGGGCGTGTTGTGCACCCACTGCAAATGAGGGGAAAATAAGGGTGATGCTGAGGGAAACGAGGGGCATGTTGTGCACCCACTGCAAATGAGGGGAAAAATAAGGGTGATGCTGAGGGAAATAAAGGGTGTGTGGCGCACCCACTGCAAATGAGGGAACATTGAGAGATCATTACTTAACAGATGAGTTAGTTACTCTTTATTATGATAGTAATGAATGGGAAGATAGAGTGACGCCTGCTCCAAGCAGCAACTCGTCAAAAAGTCTTTAATCCATGCTAAGTAACAGAAAAGATCCCTGGTATCTCACGGCATGTATCCTACAGCGAACTAAGTAACAGAAAAGATCCCTGGTATCTCACGGCATGTATCCTGCAGCGAACTAAGCAACAGAAAAGATCCCTGGTATCTCACGGCATGTATCCTGCAGCGAACTTCCTCTTCCTCGACACCACAGAGGATTTTGTGCAGGAGGTTCATGATGGCGGAGGTACCGACGTGATGAGCCACGCGAGGGATGAAGTCAGGATGGTTCTTCAAGAAGTCCAGGAATTGGAAACAGGTCACCTGGTACTGGTACCAGTTCTGCACGTATTAAATATAAATAATCTTCCCAATCAATGTTTATTAATCACATCAAGTTGTATTGATTGCAATCCATACTCAAGAATTGTCTATATTATTAATTAACTATCTTCCTCTAAACTAATCTGCTTTCACTTCATTTTAGTGTCAATCATTAAAAAACAAACAAGATTAGGGGAAGCCAGTAACGTCTCTCGCACGGGATAAGTCATAGGAACTTTTTATATGTACAAGTTTATCATCAATTCCTACTACACTACCAAAACATGACCGCCAGATCTACCAGTAGAGCAGAATATATTGTCGCTGTGCACTGCAACTAACGTCCAGCTAGAAGGGATCAGGAGGAATACTAACCAGCATCAAGGGCTACGAAATAACTAGCAATATTATGAAGTTAGTAACTTATATAACAGTAATCTTGTGAATGAACTAATTCCTATTATTTTACAAAATAATTAGTTACTCTTAGGAGTAACTTTTTGTATGTAAGATGGCTAGAAAAAATCTTAAATTATGCTTACATTATGAAAGGCGATTTACACAACAACTACAACTGAGTTTAACTTATCTTGTTTAAACTATAAATTGGCAGCATTGATGTAAAAGCACCTGTCTACAATCTTAATAGGTAACGATTTTTTGATGAATGAAACGCAGCAGAAATTATAAATAACATTTGCGCAATTGAACTAAAAAAAACCTTGAGCAACATTTTTAAGAGTACTCACATTGCCGACCAAAAGCTAACCAAGGGAAAACGGTACAGACATTTTAGGTCTCACTGCTGCCATGAACAGCCTCGCTAAAGAGCTACGAGTGAATTTGAACTGCAACTAGAGCCTGAGAAATGTAAGCATACAATATCAGCAAGATTCATATGCTCAGTCAAGAGTGACATGTTTTCCATGCATAAAATTAAGGTGATGGATGGAGACACTATGATGAAGATCACATCTACAGCATATTTGTTACTTACTAATGTGGTCAATGTGGGCAAGTTTTCATCCACAGCACACCACTGATACAAATTTTAGGATATCAGTACTGAGAATATTAACAATAGCCTGTCCCAACATCTGACCTGTTCAGAGCGCCGGTGCAAAAGCATCCCCAGAACTTTGGAGAAGAAGGAGGCTAACAAAGGGTTCAGAGGCTTCTCATTGGACAAAAAACTGCAAGGAAAATATCAATGACGTGAGGATCATCATCACAAAAATCACACGACAATAGCATAATCTTGAATCAAATGTGTCAGGGAATAAGTAATCACATAGTTATTTCAGAAATTCATAAACTATTTTACAAATCTCATGGACTTAAATAAATGGAATACTTAATACTTTTTATTAATTCACATCTCTGTGGTCATTTCAAAGGATACTTAGGCTTTAAAGATGTTCTACTGATAAAAACATGCCAGATGATAGAGGAGAGATTTTTTTAACATCAATGAAAATTCTGAATTTAAAAAGTTATTCAAACAATGAAGCAATAAATTACCCTGCAAAGAAAGCCTTCTACCTAAAACTCAGCAAACTTACTCTTAAAAATTCATAGCAACCATCACTGCAAAATAGCATTCTAGGTGTGGTGTAAATATGTGGACTCATAAACAGGAGCTATTGGAATAATTATTTATTTGTGTGGATCTTTAGAAGTTAAAACAAGAGGATTGAGTATTGAGTACAGTGGTGGCTTTTTTTGCGGCGAGAAGAGCACTAAAATTGTAAAGCAATATTAAGCTAATGAATGAAACAGTTCCTCTAGATCAGTGGTTCCCAAAGTGGGCAATGGAATGATCTGTTAGGGCCTGTGGAAAGATCTGTGTTGAACCTTTCTCTTTCAAAATTGCAGCATACTAAATATCAAGAAAGAGGCGTTTGTTTTTATGCGTGTCTGTCGACGGGAGAGCTAGAGATTCACAGGGGAGCCAAGGAGGGCGCCAGCCTGAAAAAGTTTTGGAACCACTGCTCTAGATTACATTCTGAACTCCGTGGACTTACTTGCAAAGCGTCTCCAATAGGCTCTCAGAAGCAGCAAGCTTATCAACAATAGCAGGCACTTCAGCGGAGAGGAGCTCGGCAGCGATGCTGGCATGCTTGAAGCGAACCTGATATGGTCTGTCGCTGCTTGGCTCCGTCACCACCAGCAAGACAAGCTCCTGCAGGATGTGATCCTGCAACAGACTGAAAAAACAATATCAATTACAGCAGACACTTTCACCACTTGTGTGCCTTCTTTACAACAATGTGAAGAGACTGAGAAAACAATATCAATTACTGCCAACACTTTCACCACTTGTGTGCCTTCAATACAACAATGTGAAGAGACTGAGAAAACAATATCAATTACTGCCGACACTTTCACCACTTGTGTGCCTTCAATACAACAATGTGAAGAGAGAATAATAATTGATAGAGTATAACAATTTTCAATAAATAAACCAAGAATGGAATTAATAAATAAAAAATTGATCAGCTGAAAACCGAAATGCAACCAAGTATAAACTGCAGAGAAAACCACCATCAACTATTGCATGTGAGAAATTGGCAAATTGACATGTCCAAAACTTGCAAAGCCAAATGTGTTCAGTTGTGTCATATAAAACAGGATGCACAAAAAGCTTAACTTTTAACTAACAGACATGGCTGCCACTATGCCAAACACTTACTAAGCTTGAGTGTGTAGAATGTAATCAAGTTTTATAAATTAATGATGCAGCTGAAGCTCCAATTTTTATAAATTTACAGTTTTTTCCTTTCTTTCCAGCATCTCTTGAAGTGATCAGGTCATTAGAAGGGTTCTTCATCATTCGATTTAACAAATCATTCGATTTCAAATGTTTCTCAAAATTATTGGTTTCAACATACACAAATGAGTTGGCATACTGTTTCATTCAATAAATTGACAAGTACCATGTCATATGATAACCACCTTCTTGAGCAATACAGGATTACATCAAACTTTCAATACTGAATGTTGGTAAACCAAATTTGCTCCCTGAAAATTATCAATTGAGTAACATTCATTCCAACAGCTCATGATAAATATAGCAAAAAATAATAAACTCAAAAATAAATGATATATTTGGTATATACTTACAAATCAACTAATTTCTTATTTTGAGCTTGACATTCCTGAAGAAGTTCTTCTTCTTCCATAAGTTCACTTAGAGTCACATCCTGCGCAGAAAAAATTCCCATCAGCAACTCCCCAATTTAAACTAAAAAAATGATTAATGTTAAGCAACTTTCCACTTAAAATATGCACACAAAAAATCAACAAGCAAGAACTAGCAGTACAAAGTGTTTTATCATTAAAAACAAAGAGAAAATACTAAACAGAAAATTAGCAGAAATGAGACTTGCCTCTTTCTCGAGTAGTTTTTCTATGAGCGCCGAGTTGTTACTGAAGACATAATGCCAGAACATCTTGGCTAGGTTGTAATGTAAGCTGAGCAGACACAAAAACCTGCAAAATTTCGTAACATCATTGACAAGCAGCAGAAAAGAAGAGATCTCATCAAAAAATAAGACAACTGCTCATGCTTTTTTGGGCATGCATATATATATCCTTGGTCATCATGTAAGGATATTACAAAAGCCAGAAATTTCAGTTTTAATGGCAGAATAGTTTAAGCATTGCAAAAATTAAAGGAGATGATAGGATCATAAAAATTGAAGTTCTACTTTGCAAATTATACATTTGAATTCATTTTAAAAGATGAAAAATTGTTATTTTCAGATTTTGAAACAAGAGTCAATTGGGAGTACAAAACCGGTATTCAATATAAAATGTGGGTTTGAACAGGTCTTTAAAATTAGCATGCATTAGCTTTATTATCATCATTGGGATTGTATAGTACCATATCAGGGATAACCAAGCTCAGCCAATGCTGGGCTCACCTGATACTTCAGGATAAATTAGTTTGCTCTACCAATAATACAATAAATTTATCCAGTAAAATAAGTCCAACAATATTTGTAGTGTAAAATTTGTAACGTCCAATTTCTTAAAAAAAATTCTCGGAAAATAAATAATTCAAGATTTTGTTGCAGTTCTGTCTATATATATATCATTATTTGCATTTGATGTAACTGCTTGAGATCATAGTCATTATCTTGAGATTGGGTATAATTTGATGAAAACTGCAGATTTATACACTCATACAATGTTTGGTGTTGGAGTCCTAGACCAGAAGGCATGTCTTCATTCATGCAAGATCCCATCAAGATGGTGGCTCCTGCAAGTGTTATATAATCTTCTGGACTTTGCTGTAATAAATGCCATTATTATTTATATTGAAGTACTTGGAACAAAGTTGAGCAGGCATAATTTTATGTTGATGCTTGTTTAAGAACCACAAAATCTCAGTGCCAGATACCAGTACCACAGAGGATTCATTTGACAACAATGGTACTGCAGAAATAGGAGAATTAGAATCTCCAGTATAGAGTATAACAAAATAACTGTGCCATCAAATGTGCTAAGACAACAAGGAATCAGTCAAGCAAACACTGCAAACACTGCAAATGCAAACATCCTGTATGTGGGAAGTGCATTGCTGCCAAGGAGATAACTTGAAAATTTAGACATTGCAATAATTATAGATTATTATGTTACAAGTAATTTAAGAGCAAAGAAAACACCAAGCAAATTCACCATATCGATATTGAAAATGTTTTGGGGTCCAGCTCCATCATCAGTTCAAAAAACTAAAAATGAATAAAATCATATTATTATATCAAAATTCTAAGACAGACATAAAACCTAAACAAGACCTAACTTTATATAAAATAAAATACTTTAAAAAAAACTTTTTAAAAACCATGTTTTTCTTGTGGACTAAAAAGTAGAAAATAAATTATGGCTCGCCAAAAAAAACGTGTGTCGGGCAGATTTATGATTAACACTTTGACTGCGATGTGCGCCATATATGGCGCATGCTTAAAAAATTTAAATTTTCAAAAAAAGCTCTTAAAAATATCAGCCAGATCATAAACTTGTGAAAAATATGACAAATAATTGACAATAGTAGGTAATGTTTTCAAAAACCTATATGATTGTCGTGCAATCGAATCATAAGAATCTTAGTAGTTGGAATGTAACCTGAAATAATGAGTGGTTACAAAAAAGAAAAAGTATTAAATAAAGGGGGTTATCCTGTTCCAATATGTTGAAAATCATTTTTTCGGTATTGGTATGGATTATAGCAGTAGAAAAATAAGTATTAGTCATTCGAAAGTTGCATAAGCTCACACAGAAACAGAATGGCACTGTAAAAAGCAAGATAAACAGTGACACAGATTCCGAGTACTGGGCTATCAATTGATAGTTACTTTTCTAGCTTTTCGTCTCACTTTAGCACCAACTAACTTCTTTTTTTGCAATTATGTCAAAGCAAGACTCAGATCAGAAGCTTGTCTTGGCATGAAGTTCAGATCCTCAGCTTCAAATACTTTAGAGCTGGAATGCCAACATCTAAAATCATTGTGATTTGGTTATAGAAACATTTCTTCACGTGTCTGACCTATTACTAGTGAAAATACATTCAGTAATCTTCAACGACTTCAGCAATTCACATCGATTTTTACTGACTATAGAACTGATCACCAAGCACCCAGGCATTTGCTACAGTTTTTGCCAATAACTTGAACAGTTGTTGGTACCATTTCATGCTTTGCTTAGAGCAGTTTTGTAAGACATCATCTAAATAAATTATAAACTTCTCATTTAGCAGCATTTTACCCCAGAATGATTTGTAGTTTGATTATTGCAGTCACAATCCGATTTCATTTGCACAGAAAATGTTTTTTTCAAGCGTTAGTACTCGTGTGATGCAAATTTTTTATTGTAGTTGAATAATAAAAGCCGTTGTACCTCATATGGCGCACATTGCCTAGAAAGATGAAAGTTTCCATCCCAGTCGACATGCACCAATAGAGGCTCACGGTTTTTATGTCAGAAGCTTGTAGAACTCGCTCAGACAAGAGCAGCGCACTAGCCCTTATCTTGCTGCCTTGTCTGTAACTTAAGTTATTCAAGTTTGAATGAGTCGCACCACAGGAATACAGGCTATTTTGCGAGTCGCAGTCAAAGTGTTAAAGCGAAAAGCACACAACACACGAATTTTGGAAATTTGGTGGTGAATGTACAGCCCGACCCACGTTTTTTGGGGCGAGCCATAATTTATTTTCTACTTTTTAGTCCACAAGAAAAACGTGGTTTTTAAAAAGTTTTTTTGATTTTATTTTCTCTTTTTTAGTCCGTTGCTACACATGAAAAACGTTGCGAGCCAATTTACTTGACTTGAGGTACGTATCGATGATAAGCAGCGTCAGCGCCTGCTCGTCTATAACGTCAGCGCCCGCACGTCATACTATATATATACTATATACCTATATTCTTTACCCAATTAACAGGGTTGGTGATTTTTTTAATTTTTTTAAAAAAATCAAAAAAATCAAAAATCAATGATTTTTTTTTATTTTTTCATGATTTTTTTGATTTATTTGATTTTTTTTTTATTTTTTCAACTCTTTTGTCTTTTTTAAGTGGTATTTTTTATGTTGCAATTAGCCTAACTAACAATAACAGTATATGGATCATAATGGATGGCTGAAAAGGGCACTTATTGCCTTCAATAATGGCCAACAGGCCAAGGTAGTGTTTACCACTTAGGGATTTTTGGGTAAACAATTATTGGTAAGTCTATTCATTAGCTTTGTAAAGTTTGTATGGAGCAAGGTAAGAAGCTAAATATTGACCATTTAACTGGCTTCAATATACAAAAACACTTCAGGAATGCAGATCTTTCAATTTATTGGAACCTAATACACACTAAAGGCAACAAGTTTATATACCAATTTGTCATTCATAGTACATTTATACTAAACCATGAATAACAATACCTCAGTATAAATTAAAGACTGCCACTTAATATATTTAAAAATATGAGAAAATAAAAAAAATCAAAAAAATCAAAAAAATAAAAAAAAATCGTGATTTTTTTTATAAAAAAAATCAAGTGATTTAATCACACGATTTAATCATTTTGATTTAATCATTGCCAACCCTGCCAATTAAGCTAATTTAGGTCTCTAATTGCTAGTTTTTATGATTATATCTGAAATTGTTAGGCAAAAATAGCCTGCATGCCAAATTTCAGATCTCTAGAGCAATCAGAAGTGGGCTAATTTTCGTAGTTGATGTTAACAACAAACAAACGCGAAGCAAAGTTAAGAAAAACGTGTTAAAAACAGGACTTGATTGGAACAACTTGGTCCTAGGGTACACAAAAAGAACATAAAAGCCTAGCGCATACTAAACGCATTATTGAGACACGGTTTTCGTTTGAAGATATGTAGAGACTCCAATATTCTCAAATCCGAGCAGCCAGAAGTGGAATCAAGTATCCTGAAATCACTCTCAGTTACAGCCATGTCGCACTGTTCAGCATGGAGGCACATGGAAGAATGAGGAGGCTTGGCGAGAGGCAAGTTGGAACGATAGCTCCTGCCATGATGTTCAGAAACACGGATGTAGAAGTTACGTGAAGTCATTGAACGTACGCAGATGCACAGCGTGCACAACTGAACTCATAGACCAGGTTTGATTGCATCCGAGCCTATTCATTTTTAGTTTTTCGAACTGATGATGGAGCTGGACTCCGAAACATTTTCAATATTGATATGGTGAATTTGCTTGGCATTTTCTTGGCTTTTAAATTCCTTGTGAACTAGTGATACGTATAAGCAGACTGATAATATGAGTACTTATATGCTATAAGTGATACAGAGTTGAATGATACCATAAAATGGCATTAGACTCCTGGGGTAACTTAGACCACTTTTAGTTTTTTTAACAAAAACCCCCAAAACTCAAAAACTATTTGACATCGAAAAATTTTGTCAATGGCATTAAAGGCCTAATACTGAGGCTGCATAATGCAATAGAAGATAAAAAATTATGCATATCTAATAGATTAAAAAATGAAAAATGTGACCCATGAAAAAGAGCTATTATTTAAAGTCTGTCATAGAACCCCCTCCAATTTTTTTATTTATTTTTTTTTTTGTGAAGCAACTCCAGGTTTTGGTGCATTGTAGAAGAACTCTTCTAGTTACATATGCAAATGACAAATTTGAGGAAAGTGTCATAGTTTGCAAATGAAGGGCACCGCCCCCAAATGGGGTAACTTGAAAAAAAAAAAAACAATCACAGTCTGAAGAGGATGAAATCACAATCCTATCAAGCAATCACAGTCTGAAGAGGATGAAATCACAATCCTATCAAGCAATCACAGTCTGGAGAGGATGACATCTCAACCAATCACAGCTGGAAAGGGATATGTAGCCGCCAAAAACTGGAAGTAAACATGCGCACTATCCTAGAATATCAGCCTGAAGGAGCCTAATGAATTAATACTTTACTGGTTGTGGTCTAATCATTGTCCAATTTGGACTATTGGTTCAAG